ACCTAATTTACTTTTGAATGAGTAATGGGTGTTGAGGTTGAGGCTAACTCTAGAGATCTTAGAGAGGATGAGGATATAATTCTAGAGGAGCTGGTCGAGATAGATGGTTAGTACAATGTTGATGACTACGACTAAGCCTTCAATGTCTTGGATGTGGATACAAACTGTTCTTAGGACTTAGTTTATTTTGATATTGTAATTATATAATCTAAAATTTAATATAATTTTGATAACAATTTGTAAATATTAAACTTTGAAATGTAATGAAAATTCAACTATGTACATTATTTCTTTATTAATTATTGTGTAAATATAATTATTAAGAGTATAATTTATATTATGTTATTAATAATATCTTTGTAAATCTTCATGAATAGCCTTATTAATAATAAAAAAAAAAAGTTTAAATTTTATCACATTTTATACTCATATTTTACAACAAATTTATTTTATTTCTTTTATCTTGTCATAAATCATATATTTTTTAATAAAAAATTAAAGGTGTCACACAAGTTACTTTTATCAAACACATTATTATAGAGAATCAATAATAAGTTACTTTTACAACAAATTTCTTATATTTGACATTGAAGCCAATTTACTAGATTGAAAACAATTAAACAAGGCAACAATTGATACAATTTTCATTATCTCATTCCTACGCATTGCATAATGAACATTATTAGCACCAAAGGAGCTTTCAGTATACAAACTCAAATTTGCACATCTATCAATGATATAAACATGTAAATTGTCAAATTTATAAAAGCAAAAGGCCACATGTTTTATGATTTTGATAGTGGAATATATCTTCCCTAGTTCCTCTCACAAACACTTTTCTAACTTGCATCCATAAAAATAGCTTTTCACTTTCATTATGTTGAGATATAGAACAGAATAACTGCTAAGAGATACCAAAACAAATCCTGCCTTCTTATAACTTCTTTTTCTCCAAGAAACTAAAATAATACTAATATTGTCATACATCAATCAGCAAATAAAGAATAAAAAATCACAAAAATTGAATTCAACTTACAGTGTCTACTATCTGTCTGAGCTGCTGCAAAAACAAATTAGAAAAGAAACAGTAGCAGAAGAATGAGATTGAGGTTCAAATATATTATGTGAAAATGAGATTGGAGTTTAAACAATGGAAGAGAAAATGTGAAAATGAGATTAGGTTCTAATAGGAAATGAGAAAATGAGATTAGGAATCATACAGCGGATGAGAAAATGAGATTGAGGTTTTTCCATTTTCAAATTGATTAATAGGATTGAAGTGTATAAAAAACGAGATTAGGTTTATAGAGATACTTACTGAGTTAGATTTAGAGTGAGTATCTCAACAATAGCTTTTACAACTTAAAGACCTATATATAGCACAGAACTTAAGGTAGAAGTATGGTGCGGAACTCAAGGTAAAACTGTGGCATGTAGGAGTAATTACTTAGGATAGAACTTGACATGAGAGAGTAAAGAAAATTGGCGCAAAAGCTCAACTAGTGGCAATTAAATAAAAAATGCCATTGAAATCTTTTTATTTACTAGCAGTTATACAAAAATCGATGAGAAAATCTTAATTTTTGCTGGCATATTTTTAAACCGACATTGAACTCCTTTATTTTGCCAACACTTATTAAAACTGTCATTAAAATATTTTTTTTCAGTATTTCACTGACATTTTTTTTTTGTAACCGATGCTAATGGACCGACGTTAAACGCTGCAATTCTTATAGTGATGTATGATAGGAACAAGGGAATGTTATTAAAGTAACAACTATTATTATCAAAATTTATAACAAAATCAAGAAAAAAGTAAGTATAAAGTTAAAAACAATATAATTTATACACAATTGTCAATTAATTTTAATTTTAAAAAGAATACATGTAAAAGAGAATAATTCCATTAAATCCTTCACTCCATAGATCATATAGTCTCGTTTACGGTATAGAACTTTACATGTTAGTTAAATTTAAAACCCAAACTCCTCTAATTTTGAATTGTACCAGCACATTCGTATAAAAGAAAACTTGAAACTTAAAAAAATAAAAGGCTTAAAATTAAATAAAAGAATAGTCAAGCCTAATAAAAAATATATATAAAGGATTAAAATGGAAAATAGACTTGCAACATTAAAAAATGGTTTAATTTTGGGGCATTATTAACACAAATCAATAATTTTTTATGATGTAGTAATCGATAATTAGATGATAGTATATAATTTTTTTTTACATTGTTAGTATAATTTAAAAATTGAATTTTTAACAAGTATATAAAAAACAAAAATTAAAATTTAAAATACGTCCTAGACTAAAGTTAAGAGTTAAAAATATAAACTATGAAATAATCAAAACTATTTGAATTTAAAGGAAAATTTTAAATAGCAATTAAGGCGTTTGATTATGATAGGTGAGATAAAAAAACGAAAAGTAATTAGGGGACTCAAGATATTCATCTGTGCTGTTCATATTTACACAGAGTTCCTACGCGAGTTTAAAATTTTTATATTATTAATTTATTGTTCAATTATATATTAGAGATAAATTTTAAATTAAAAATTATAAAAATCAGTAAAATGTATTAATATAATAACTTTTTAAATTGTGCATGACCACTATAAGTAGAGAAACTTTTTTTTTTATCATATATATACACTGAACAAAATTTTATAATTTTGTAAAGATTTACATAGGTACGTATATAATGACATCATTTTAAATAATAATTTTTAAAATTATTTTAACTTAATTTTATAATAATGAATAATATATATAAAAATGATAAAAAAAATTAATAAAATGATAGTAGTTTTAAAATATAATTTTATAATAAAATTTTTTAATTAAATATCAATAATATATATATAATCATAAATTTATGATAAAAATTTTAAAATTTTTTTTTGAATTTTAAAACAAATTAAAATTATGCACTTATGTACAATAAAACGTACATGTGAGCTTGTTTGAAAAAAAAGATTGATTGAGAGAGATAATATTTGAGAATAATTTAAATTTTGATAAAAATTAAAAAAAGTGATAAACTCCACAAATTTTTGTAGAAAAATATGTTTTTGTGCGTAAACTTAAAGATGAGTAATTACTGATAATTTTGATTGAGAATGCTATAATAATAAATTAAATGTTACAAATTTTAAAAACAAAACTATATGTATTCACAAAGAATCTAAAATTTTATATAATGTAATATGAAAAAATGTGTAAATATAAACATAAATATTCACAGAAAATATAAAAATAAAAATATTAAGTATCAACTTTTATCTTATTTATGACAAAATTTTAAAAATAAATGTGCATAAAAAGTAGAACATTTACAGTAAAAAAGTGTATAATTTGCACATCATTTTAAAAAAAATACATATATTTAAATGTGAAATAGAATAAATCCATCAAATACTTACTTCACAAATAATATATCATTTATATGTCCGTTAAGGTTAAAGTTCAAATTCCTCTCGAATTAGAACACACGTTCAAATTTTAATATAGTATCAAAATGTAGTTGAAAAAAAAGCTTGAACCCTAACAAAATGACAAAAATAAAATAAAAGGCTTAAAATTAAATAAAAGAATAGTCAAGCCTAATAAAAGATAAAGGATTAAAAAAATGGACCCATGACATTAAAAAATAGTTTAATTTTAGTGTATTGTTAGTGTTAAAAAATAGAAACATGTTAAATAGGAATTTTATATTATACAACTTTTTCTTTTTTTACAGAGAGTTATTCTAACATGTTAAATACTCAACAGAAATTTTTTTTTTTCACTTATAATATTGATAACCTACTCAAACTAGATTGTTTTTAATAGAAAATACATGTGGTTTAAAAAATAAATCTCACAAGTTCAAACAATAAAAATAAAATGAGATAGATGTTCAAATTTAAAATACAAGCCTACACTAAAATTATAAAACTTAAAAATAATATTCTCTCAAGTTTTTTTTATTATAAAGAACAACATGAAGTATTTTTTTATCTTAATTATAAAAAATATAGAATAAATTTGAGATGTATTAATTGTTAAATTTTTTACACCTTTTTTTATTATTAAAAATATGTTTATAAGGCAATAATTACACTAATTACACCATTTATATCATATATAAGTATTTTTTTGAATAAAATTTATATTTATAAAAAAATATAACTAATTTAATTACTTTTATTGATTTGTAAAAAATAATGGTGAGGATATAAAACAAGTAAATCAAAACTAGTTGAATTGAAAGGAAATTTTAAATAATAATGGAGGTGTTTGATCAAACCGGTGAGAGAAAAACGAAAGGCAATTAGGGGACTCAAGATATTCATCCGTGCTATTCATATTGATACAGCGAGTGACTACGCGAGTTTAAGATTTATGTGCTTTATTTTATATTTATATACTTTACGGAAAAATTTTAATTATTAAGTTATTGAACAATTAGATTATATTAGAGATAATTTTTAAATTAAAAATTATAAAAATCAATAATTTCTGTTAATATGATAACTTAATATTAAATTATAATATAAAAATCTTTATATTGTTAATTTATTTTATTTAAATATTTTTCTTTTGGAAAAATAAACCCGTGTACTTTGTAATTAATAACAAATATATATTTATTATTCTTGAAATATTATCTGTTTGATTTTTTAAAAAATAATAAATATTTGAAAATAAAAAATTAAGCATAATTAATTTAAAATATTTTAAATTTGAAATTGAAAATAGAATAAAAAGTCAACAATGACTGATAGTATTGAAGATGATCATGGATTAAGATAGAAATGATCATGTTTCATGTTTTATTGTATATTTTTTTTGTGGATTATTCAACCGGCACGTTTACTAGTCAACAAAATACATATAATACACGATGTCTCTCTCTCAATTTTTCTATATATATATAAACATAAACATATATATCTATGTGAGACGAATTCTACATAGCTATGGCAAACAATGTTCAAAGTTTCCACAGTGTTTTATTGATTCTTGGCATAGTGACATTCATTGAAGCTTCAACGATATTCAGTAATGATATTACTACATCCCTCAACAGGAATAGTTTCCCACAAGGTTTTATTTTTGGAACAGGATCAGCTGCTTACCAGGTATATATCCTAAAACCTTCAATAATCTTTGACCTCGATATGTATAATTAATGTTCTGTGGTATCATAATTTACTATATGATTTTCTTTTCCTTTTGGAAATCTTAGTATGAAGGTGCAGCAACTGAAGATGGAAGAGGACCAAGTATATGGGATATTTTCACTCATAGTTATCCAGGTCTCTTCTTTCTTTGTTTGTAGCAGTTGATTGTGTGAAAAAACATGTTTTATTCTTTTTCTAATAACATACAAGGTATAGGATCCTGGTATTATCAGTAGAAAAAAAGAGATAAAACATTGCTATAAGCAGAATCTGGATAGAAAAGTTTATTTTTATTACAAATATTTTTTACATAGAAGCAATCTTGTTTGAGCTAGTAAAACTATTCTAAAATTTCTTTCCATTATATATTTAGATATATAGATTCATTCAACGAGAGTTAAGGGATAAGATTTGATTTAAGGCTACAAAGAGTTTCAATTTACAAAAGTGATTAATTAAGACATACTAATAAAATGAAAAGGTTGGAGTGAGAACAGTTAGTACTGAAAGCTCTTCTAATCAATGGTGGAAAGTAAAAAGGAGTCAGTGACTGTACAAATAACAACATCTACATGGTAAAGTTAAATCGAGAGAAGGATAAATTTGGATTAAAAAGATTGTAGATGTACAGACCATATATATTAAGTTTAGTTATTATAATTACTTAAATGATAAATGAGAGTTTTTTTATGTTCTATTCATAAATTACTGACTCTCGTCATTCCTCTATATTAATTCATCATATTCTACTTGAAACATGACAGGTAAAATAAGGGACAGGAGTAACGGAGACACAGCCGTCGATGAATATCATCGTTATAAGGTGCAGTGTTCAGAATTGACACGCATGAAGTCAGGATATATAAATTAAATATATTTTGTATGCAATTATTTCATCTCTTTTTTTTTAATTATCTTCTTCATATATATATATATATATATATATATATATATATATATATTAAAAGGGCAACTTTTCATCAAATAATGTCCCTTCTGAAAATATAATTAATATAATGCAGGAAGATATTGAGATCATGAAGGACATGAACATGGATGCTTATAGATTCTCTATCTCTTGGTCAAGAATATTGCCAAGTAAGAAAACGGCAGCTTAAAATTAAACTATGTGGAGTGTGCACATTAGCATCCCTTAACTGTTCCAATAAAAAAGTATTATTGCGTTAATGAATGATTTTTTAATTTGAAGTTATATTTGACCTTTGATTTCAGAGGGAAAGCTTAGTGGAGGAGTGAATAATGAAGGAATAAACTATTATAACAACCTAATCAATGAGCTGTTAGCCAAAGGTATATCCACATATATCTTTATGATTCTTTTAAAAATCATTAATTAATTTCCACATACAACATTGAAGTGGCTACATTCGTTGGGATATCTTAATGCAGGTCTTCAACCCTTTGTGACTATTTTTCATTGGGATCTTCCTCAGGCCTTGGAAGACGAATATGGTGGCTTTTTAAGCCTTAATATTGTGTAATTTTCATATCTCATGGATAATAATCAAATATGTTTAACAGAACAATTTTCTTTGAGTTAACGATTTTTTTCCCCTTATCTCTATCCAGAAATGATTTTAAAGACTATGCAGAGCTTTGCTTCAGGGAATTTGGAGATAGGGTAAAGTATTGGGTTACATTGAACGAGCCATGGGTCTTTAGTAGGTTTGGCTATGCTGAAGGGAACTTGGCACCTGGAAGATGCTCTTCTTGGCAAAACCTAGATTGCACTGGTGGAGATTCTGCCACTGAACCATATATAGTGTCTCACCATCAATTACTTGCTCATGCAGTTGCATTCAACATTTATAAGACTAAATACCAGGTTTAGTTATATATATATTTATAGTTTTGATAAATATATGCTTTTTTAAATAATTATTTATTTTTAATTCATTAAAATTAATTTAAATTTTTTATTTATTCTAAAAATTGATATTATCATATTAAATTATATATTTAACTAAGGAAGTTAGCTGAATTGAATTCATTCAACGAATCAGACAATCCAAATTAATCTAGTAATTTAATTGGTTCGTCTTAGTTTAGTTAATTGACTTATTTTTCTTTAAATTCAATCTAAAATATTTATAATTTTTTTGAATTTAGCTTTTTTTTTACCCAGATTACCCCATCAACTTATTTTTAAACTTTTAAGTTTATATATTATAGATTTTAGTATTTAGACATTTCCCCTATTTTTGTCTTTTTTTTTTTTACCTATTTTGAATTTTTACATAATATTATTAAATGTCTTTAATTATGCTTATGATTCCACTTCTTTATGATATTTTAGAAAAAGAGATAAATAATATATGTAAAATTATAACTATAGAAAAAGTGATATATTAATTACAAATATTATTTTACCATGAAATTGATTTAGTTGTTGTCCAAAATTGTTGCAGAATATAAAACCTTTTAGTTTATAGTAATAATAATCTTAAATTTTTATATAATAAATTATATTTCAGAACAAAAGATTAAAATAATCATTTTTAAGCCTAATCCAATGCCTGGAACAAATTAATTTAATCCTAATTGGATTGCTTTGATATAGATTAACTAAAAAAAAGTCCACAAAATCAAATAAAAAAACTCATTAAATTTGATTAGGTTGGATTTTATTTGTAAACTCAAATTAAACTAACCTGTCAGCATTCTTATATTTAACAATAGGTTAAATAAATCTGTATGCTCTTGAACTATTTGTAAAATTAAAAAAAAAATATTTTTAAAACTTATAACTATATCTACCCTATAAATAATTTTTAATTGAATTTTGAACCATATTATCATCGAATTTTCATTAAGTATAAGAGTCTAATTAATTTTTTAAAAATAATTGAAGAATCTACTGAATAATTAAATAAACAACTTGATCCCTAAACTATTAAAATAAAACCATTTAGATTCGTGTACTAATTAGCAGAACCCTAATAAAAAAGTAGATAGAGATCCGGTTCAAGTAAAAAATATCTACAAATTTAGGAACTTAGTTATAATTTTTTTTAAAATATAGATAACTTATTTAAAAATTCTCAAATAACAATGGATTATGTGAATCAAGAGCCAAGTTACTTAAACTTTCCTTAATTCCTTTTGTGTACATAGGCATCTCAAAACGGATTGATAGGGATAACCCTAGTGAGTAACTGGGTACTGCCACTCTCTGATACAGAATCGGATCATCATGCTGCACAAAGAGCCCTTGATTTCATGCTTGGATGGTAAATGTTTATTTATTGAAATCTTATACAGTTTTTGGCTTAATTGGATTGAGTTTTCACTTAATGGAATTATATTTATTTCCATTTTCAAATTTTTTAAAGAATTGTATTAAACATTGTCTTTAAGGTATATGGAACCATTGACAACTGGATATTACCCAAGTTCTATGCGATATTTGGTGGGGAACAGGTTACCAAAGTTCTCTGAAAATCAAATGAAGTTACTAAGAGGGTCATTTGATTTTTTTGGATTAAACTATTACAGCTCTGCGTATGCTGCTGATGCACCTCAATTATGTGAAGCTAGACCTAGCTTCCTAACAGATTCTTTAGTTAATTTTTCAAGTAAGAACATTTTTTTTCCAGAGATCCCATTTAAATTAGAACTTATTTAATACATAAAAGTGTATCTACCAATTTCAATCTACGAATAACCAATTCAATAAGATCTGCAATTTGAATTGGAAAAAAAAAAATGGAAATAATATACCGTAGTTAATGAAATCATGATTATTTTTCTTTTGTAAAAGAAAATCACGATGTTTTTGTTGTGACAGCTGTGCGTAATGGAATCCCTATTGGTCCTCGGGTTAGTGGATGAATAGTTCATTTGCTGTAGCAACTATTTGTTTAATGCTGCATGTTATTGCTCCATTTTTCTAGGCTCAATAAAGAATGGGAATTGAAAACAAAGAAAACCATGTTTTTGCAGGCAGCTTCAGAATGGTTATATGTTTACCCGAAAGGTATTCGTGAAGTACTGCTCTATATCAAGTCAAAATACAACAATCCATTAATCTACATCACAGAAAATGGTATTTATCAACTATATTATTTCTCCATACATGCTATTGTATATTCAATTATATTTAAGAGAATTGCTAGAACACGCCTTTTAATGTATTAAAATATATATTACTAATATTTCCTTGAATGGTCTTTTGTCACATGCACACATACATATCCTATTAATATATGTGCTTATGGGAACTTTTATTCAATAATTTACAGGAATGGATGAGTTTAATGATCCAACTCTCTCGCTTGAACAAGCTCTTAGAGATACAGATAGAATTGATTACTACTATCACCATCTCTATTATCTGCAAAGTGCAATCAAGTACGTGCTATCATATCAAAAAGTGTGGTTATCTATAATTAGTCCATAATCAAATATTAATGCACCCTTAATTCAATTGGTTTTGGTGTATTAGGGATGGCGTGAATGTGAAGGGATATTTTGCTTGGTCATTGTTGGACAACTTCGAATGGGCTGGAGGCTATACCACAAGATATGGTATTTACTTCGTGGATTACATAAATGACCTTAAAAGATATCCAAAACTCTCGGCCAAGTGGTTTAAGAATTTTCTTCAATATCAAACACTAACGCATAATGATTCCCTCTCAAAGTAGTCAAAGTAGGCGATCAATTAACTAAGTTCATTTAATTTAACCTATTGTCTTGAATTTGAATTCAAGTAAATATAGTTATATTAAATAGTCAGCGAGAGAGAGAGAAAATGATTCAAAGAAAATTGTATTTCATGAAAAATACATGTGTTTTAGATCAAAAGTAAGTATCAAACTTCATTAATTAATTTATCACGTGTATCCTATAAATAAACATGATTACTAGCCTCCTATAATGTTCTTTTTGTTTTTGGTCAACACTGTAGCTCCTTTAATGTTCATATTCTAGTTCTTAAGTTCGATGAGATGAATAAACTTTTGGCCCTGATTTTTGTAACTTCAAGTTTGGAAGATGGTCATGAGCATTTTGTTTTTCTCTTTTTCTTTTGGTTCAAAACCATTTTGTTTTTCTCATTGCTAGAAAGCATGGGCCTATCCCAGGTAATATAAGTGTTGAAGAGTTTAAAGAAAGGATATCACAGAAAAAATATTTGACGAAAAAAAACACAGAAAAATTAATTAAACAAAAATAAATAACTAATTCAAATGAAACTATTTAAGTTCCTTTTAAAAAATAACTATTTAAGTTAACATATACTAATGTTTGTTTGAGAACCTCCCGCAAGTTGTGACAAATAAGTCCATCATACTCGACTAAGATAATATGGAATCAAATGATGCAAAAGGTAATGTTTTGGTATAAAAATCAGCTACTAAGTTAAAGAAGGTATTCATAGAAGATGAATAAGATCTTGCTAGAGCTTTGCTCTTATAAAATAACAATTTATTTTTATAAGCTTTGTTACATCACGAAATGTCGAATTATGAGCCAGTTCAATTGCAAATTTGTTATCAAAATATAAAAGAATTGGGTAAGATAGTTGTAAATTGGAGAAAGAGTTAAAAATTTATTGTGCTTCACATAGTATTGTTACTGAAGCTCTATACTTAGCTTTCACTTAGATTAATTTTTTGACGTTTAAAAGATGTGATATTTTATTTAAAAAGTATCTATTATATTTTTATAAGTTTAATATTATAAATATCATTTTTAAAAATTATCATTCTTATTTATTTAAAATTAATTTTAAAAGCTTATTTTAATATTTTGAATTTATTATTTAATATGTTTGAAATCTATTTTGCTTATCCACTAGGGCGTTGGGGACCTACGTACAAGTTAATGGGGGGCATTACATCCTGAACTTTTTAAAACATAAGAAACTTGTATTATATTTTAATATTTACATCTGTAAAATACAATTTAACTCTTAACCCTTTATTAGAATAATTTCAACTTGTTAGATTATTTTAATAATCTTGTTATAGTGGCCTATATAACTTATAGCATGACTCTAATTAATGATTTAATGTGATGGTAGTTAAATATAAAATATAGAGTCATTGAGGGTATAATTGTAAATACAATTATAAGGAAACCCTTCCCTTTCCCTTCATATAAATTAATGAGCGGTTACCAAATGAGGGTGACAACATTTCCTATTTTCTCACTTTTCTCGGTTTCTAAGTGAGTTCACGGTAAACGCATAAAGAAACTTTCTCTTAACCATCCAAGAGGAAAGAAGAGTTGGGAAAAATACCAAGGAATCAACGATATCAAAGAGAGAGGTAACATCAAAGAACAATGGATTCAGGTTAGTACTCTCTAAACCCTTAATTGTGTGAGAATCATATATTGTGTTGTGAGAGCAACGTAATTCAAGATCTCAAAAAGGAAAAGGTAATTTCATAATAGTCATTGTATAATAGAAATTACATAATGAATTAAAGAAAATTCTAATAGTTGGTATCAGAGCTAGGTTGTGAATTTCATTGATTCTCCATAAGAGATCGGTTCTCCATTAAAGTTTTTTCCAAATTACATGAACCCTATGTATTTTATATGATGAATTGGCATTATTTTGATGTTGAATAATTGCTTTGGATTCAATAATTGAAAACTCTAAGGTTTTGAAAGTTAGAAACATTGGATTTGAATCTGTAATATGAGCAGGGCCATGTATCAGTGAGCAGGGCCACACATTAGGAACAAACACGGCCATGCTCCATGTATATATATATATATATATAGATGTTAGAATTTTCTTTAATCCATTATGTAATTTTTATTATGCAATGACTATTATGAAATTACCTTTTCCCATTTTGAGATCTTGAATTACGTTGCTCTCATAACACAATATATGGTTCTCACACAATTAAAGGTTTAAAGAGCACTAACATGCATCCATTGTTCTTTGATGTTACCTCTTTCTTTGATGTCATTGATTCCTTGATATTTTTCCCAACTCTTCCTTCCTCTTTCAGCTCCTCTTGGATAGTTGAGAGAAAGTTCCTTTATGTGTTTACCGTGAGCTCACCTAGAAACCGTGAAAAGTGAGAAAATAGGGAATGTCGTAACCCTCATTTGGTAACTGCTCATTAATTTATATGAAGGGAGAGAGGAGGGTTTTCTTATAATTGTATTTACAATTATACCCTCAATGACTCTATATTTTATATTTAACCACCATCACATTAAATCATTAATTAGAGTCATGCTATAAGTTACATAGGCCACTATAACAAGATTATTAAAATAATCTAACAATCTCCCACTTGGCCTATGTGACGACTTAAAGATTCAATGAACTGTAAGTGCGCATATCATTGATAATATCAAGTCATCATCTTTTCATGATTTAAGTTGATCGGATCATGGCGGTCATAAGTCATTTGACGACATGATTCAGGAAGCACGGTCGTGCATCAATTATAAGCACAGCCATGCATCAGGAAGCAGGGGCATGCATCATAAATGAGCATGGCCTTGCTTCATCTAAGCACGACCATGCATCAAGTAAAAGCACGGCCGTGCATAGAAATTTTACGGCAGAATAAGCAATATAATTCATAAAATATATAGATAATTTTAGAATTACATCAAAGTGAATTTTACTCACCAAAGTGATTAAATTCTCAAGTTAATTAATTCTAAATTACATTATCATAATGAGAACTTCACAATTTAGTGCTTAATTTTAAGGGTAGCTTGTTAGTCACCAAAGTAGCCTAGCTTTAAAAGTTCTTTAAGCATTTAATTGTGTGTTATAAATTTTTCAAAATTGTTTGATGCTATATGGTAACATAAAGGGTGAACAATTTAGCTCATTAATTATAACGCTAGAAGATCACCCAAAGGTGGATCATTGCATATGATTAATGACATTAAGGAGACATGTAAGCACTTCATAATATATTTGTATATCCAAAGATGACTTGCATATTGGTTTGAGTGACTGGTTGTCAATCAAAGTTATTTATTAGTATCAATATAGATAAATTGTGTATTTAAGCGTTACCCAAAGGTAAACTTAGATGCATAATTGATGACAGTTGACTGTCCGAATCCATTAAGTTTATTCAAAGCATAAATGTTTAAGCATGTGTTAGATATTTCAGTCTCTATGAATGCGTATGGCATGAGCAATGGCGTAGTCAAGTTCAATGGGCTTAATTATGATGATTGGGCAGAACAAGTTCGATTCCAGCTAAGTGTTATGGACTTAGACCTAGCAATCATTATGGAACAAGAGTCTGTAGCCATCACAAAGACTAGTACTGAAGAGGAAAAAACTCTTCGTGAGGCTTGGGAAAGGTCGAATAGGCTAAGCTTAAGCTTGCTGAAGATGACTATGGCTGAAAATGTGAAACTATCAATGCCAAAGACTGAAAATGCTAGGGAATTTATGACAAAGGTAAAAGAGTATGCACAATCAGACATCACTGACAAGTCTATTACAGGCACCTTGTTGACTGAGCTAACTACTAAGAAGTTTGATTGGTCACGACCCATTTATGACCATGTGACTGACATGATCAATCAAGCGGCAAAGTTGAAATCAATGGGAAAAGTTGAAACCAATGGACATGAAACAGAATGAAGGCACGGATAGAAGGAATAGGGACTTACAGATTGATCTTGCATACTGATTGTTGCATAGATTTAGAAAAGTGTCTTTATGTTCCTGAATGTGCTAGAAATTTAGTTTCTGTTGCAAAGTTGGAAGAATTTGATTTTAATTTTAAGATTGAAAATTGTACTTTTTCTTTGTATAAACACTTGTACTATTTTGGATCTGGTACATTAATTGATGGTTTATATCGTTTCAATCTTAATGTTAAATTTGCTGAATCTCTGTTGCATGTTGAGAGTAGTACTATTAGTAGTAATTTGAATATGCGTAATGAATGCTCTGCTTTCTTGTGGCATCACAGATTAGGTCACATATCCAAAGAAAGGATGATGAGGTTAATGAAAAGTGAAATTTTACATCAATTGAATTTTGTTGACTGGGATGTATGTGTGAATTGTATTAAAGGAAAACAAATTAAACACACATCAAAGAATCCAGCCACAAGAAGCAGTCAACTCTTAGAGTTGATACACACTGATATTTGTGGTTCGTTTGACATCCCATCTTGGGGTGGTGAAAGATATTTCATTACCTTCATTGATGACTACTCACATTATTGTTATCTGTATATGTTGCATGAAAAATTCCAATCAGTGGATGTCTTACAGGTATTCATTGATGAGGTGGAAAGGTAACTGGATGGAAAGGTAAAGGTTGTGAGGTCAGATAGAGGTGGTGAATATTATGAAAAATCTGATGAAAGTGGACAATGTCCAGGTCCATTTGCAAAACTTCTGAAAAGTCGAGGCATATGTGCACAGTATACTATGCCTGGTACACCACAACAAAATGGTGTGGCTGAAAGGCAGAATCGTACTATCATGAAAATGGTTAGGAGTATGTTGAGTTACAGTTCTGTACCTATGTCTTTGTGGATGTACGTATTAAAGACCGCTGCGTATCTGCTTAATAGAGTTCCTAGTAAGGCAGTTCCAAAGACTCCTTATGAATTATGGAGAGGAAAGAAACCCAGTTTAAGACATCTTTATGTCTGGGGTTATCCAGTAGAAGTAAGAGTGTATAATCCACATGAAAAGAAGCTTGATGCTAGAACCATAAGTGGTTATTTCATCTGCTATCCTAAAAAATCAAAGGGGTACAGATTCTACTATCCTAACCATAGTATGAGAATAGTTGAGTCTGGAAATGTAAGGTTCATTGAAAATGGTCAGTTTAGTGGGAGTGGTGAAACACGAAATGTGAAAATTAAAGAGACACGTGCAAAAACTCCTGTAATTAGTGTATCTTCTCCAATTGTTGTTCCTCTTGTTGTATCACGGTCACACAACATAAGGAGACAACAAATTAATGTTCCAAACCCACAAGAACAACATATAGAGGATGAACCAGTTGAAAATGCGCAAGTCACAAGTGAGCAAGAGGAAGGTGAACTACAAGAGATAGTATTAAGGAGGTCTGTAAGCCAGAAAAGACTGGCTATTTCGAATGACTATGTGGTTTACTCACTTGAGCATGGATGTGACTTGAGTATTGATGAGGATCTAGTCTCATTTAAGCAAGCCGTGGAAAGTTACAATTCTGAAAAGTGGTTGAATGCCATGAAAGAAGAGTTAAAATCAATGAGTGACAACAAGGTATGGGATCTAGTCGAGTTGCCTGAAGGTTCAAAATGAGTCGGTTGCAAGTGGGCCTTTAAGACCAAACGTGACTCAAAAGACAACGTTGAGAGATACAAGGCTAGACTTGTTGCTAAAGGATACACTCAAAAGGATGGCATAGACTATAAAGAGACCTTTTCTCCAGTTTCAAAGAAGGACTCTTTAAGAATTGTTATGGCTTTGGTGGCTCATTATGACTTAGAGCTCCACCAAATAGATGTAAAGACCACCTTTTTGAATGGTGACTTGGAAGAGGAAGTTTATATGGATCAGTTAGATGGCTTCTTGACTGCAGGTAAAGAAAGTATGGTGTGTAAGTTAAAGAAATCAATATATGGGTTGAAACAGGCTTCCAGACAATGGTATCTTAAGTTCAATGATACCATCACGTCATACGGTTTTGTAGAGAACACTGTTGACCGGTATATCTATATGAAGGTCAGTGGGAGTAAGTTCATCATTTTAGTCCTATATGTTGATGACATTCTTCTTGCTACTAATGATGTTGGGCTGTTGCATGATGTAAAGGAATTTCTCTCTAAGAACTTTGAGATGAAAGATATGGGTGAGGCTTCCTATGTGATTGGAATAGAAATATTCCTTAATAGATCACAAGGATTACTGGGACTGTCTCAGAAAGGCTACATCAACAAAGTAATAGAGAGATTCAAAATGGAAAAGTGCTCATCAGGGGTAGTTCTAATTCAAAAGAGAGACAAGTTTAGTGAAATGCAATGTCCCAAGAATAAGTTGGAGCAGAAAGTAATGGAATTTATTCTCTATGCATCAGTGGTTGGGAGTTTAATGTATGCTCAGACATGCACTCGGCCTGATGTCAGTTTTGTTGTTGGAATGTTAGGCCGATATCAAAGTGATCCCGGAATGTACCACTGGAAGGCTGCAAAGAAAGTCCTTAGGTATTTACAAGGCACCAAGGACTACATACTTACTTATAGGAGATCTAGTCAACTGGAAGTGGTTGGCTACTCGGATTCAGACTATACTGGATGTGTAGACTCAAGGAAATCGACATTTGGCTACATCTTCTTGTTAGCTGGAGGTGCGATTTCATGGAAGAGCAGAAAGGAGTCCATTATTGCTACGTCTACCATGGAAGCGGAATTTGTGGCTGTGAAACTTTGTCTTAGGGCTTAGTATTGTTGATAATATAGAAAAGCCGCTGAGAATGTACTGTGATAATTTTGCAACTGTCTTCTTCTCTAAGAATGATAAGTATTCAAAGAGAGCAAAGCATATGGACTTAAAATACTTATCAGTGAAAGAAGAAGTGTGGAAACAGAAAGTGTCTATTGAGCATATAGATACTGATTTAATGATAGCAAATCCGCTAACTAAGGGATTGCCCCCTAAAACGTTTTCTGGCCATGTTGGTAGAATGGGCATTATAGACAATTCCTTGTTAGCATGATTATGTGATTCACATATATATATGTATAGATTGTTTTGCTCATATTATTGTAGACATTTTGAAAATTCAATAAAAGTATTATTTCTGCTTGTTTACTTGTTATCTGAATTGTGTTAATGTACATGTATGGTTTGATTTTGATAACAGGTTGAGTGTTAAAAACACATCAGAGTTACAGTCTGTAGTATGACTGATTAAAGCTATTTTGATTTGGGTTGGTTCTCTGATACTTAGAAGGAATCATGTCGTCAATTGACTTGTGACCGCCATGATCCGATCAACGTAAATCATTAAAAGATGATGACTTGATATTATCAATGATATACGCACTTATAGTTCATTAAATCTTCAAGTCGTCAAATAGGCCAAATGGGAGATTGTTAGATTATTTTAATAATCTTGTTATAGTATGACTCTAATTAATGATTTAATGTGATGGTGGTTAAATATAAAATATAGAGTCATTGAGGGTATAATTGTAAATACAATTATAAGGAAACCCTCCCCTCTCCCTTCATATAAATTAATGAGCGGTTACCAAATGAGGGTGACGGCATCCCTTATTTTTTCACTTTTCATGGTTTCTAAGTGAGCTCACGGTAAACGCATAAAGGAACTTTCTCTCAACCATCCGAGAGGAGCTAAAGGAGGAAGAAAGAGTTGGAAAAAATACCAAGGAATCAACGATATCAAAGAGAGAGGTAACATTAAAGAACAATGGATTCAAATTAGTGCTCTCTAAACCCTTAATTGTGTGAGAACCATATATTGTGTTGTGAGAGCAACCCAATTCAAGATCTCAAAAAGAAAAATATTTCATAATAGTCATTGCATAATAGAAATTACATAATGGATTAAAGAAAATTCTAACACAACTTGCATCCCCAAATAGGGTTTGGTTCAGTCCTGTACGCCCTCATTTTGTCAAAGTTATATACATTAGAGTGATGCTATAGACCTTTTTTATATGTCCCATGTGAAAAATAGGCAGAAAACGACCACTTCCTCATTTTGTATCATGTTTCCTTCTCACAAAATAAAATATTAAATAGTTCTTAAATTATACAAAGTTTTATGAACTTAATATAAATTCATAATTTAGCGTCTATATATATGTATAGAATTTAAAAACTATGGAGCAGGTCTCCTGCAATCTGCCAAAGATTTTATCAAGTGTCAACGAAAGTGATGTTAACTATAATACTGTAATAATCAATAATCATGCAAGAATAATTAAATTGATTAGTGGCAAGACAAATGCAAAGAAGTGGGTGAAAATACTTTCCAATGCTATATATATGTAAGCCATTATTAAAGGCTTTCGTTATTATGAATAAAAGTTTGGGTTTAGTTTTGATCTATTGCGTTAAGTTCGTTTTAGGCGTAATATAATATTAGAAGTTCGTGTAATCAAATATAAATCTTAGGATTCAAATTTGATGAATATAAATGTTAACGTCATCGTCGACCTTGTATTTATCAAATCTTATGTTACTTGTTTATGTTATGAATGATAATGTAAAATATTCAATATATTTGAGAAAGGGAATAAAAAATTGCTTAACCACTTCTGGAATCTGGGGCAAACAAACATTTATGAAATGTGATTTCTCCCAAGCAATATATATATAAGCAATAAGTAAAATCAACATTAACGATCATACATCATTTTAATTTTTAACAATATTCGTGGTAAACTTTAAAAGATAATGACTCAATTAAATACTTTATTTTTTTAAAACATATAAGTTGAATGTGCACAAAATAATTACAAGAAATATTTATATAAAGTAAGCAGGTGTATAAAATTTATTTTTATAACCATCCATGGGGCAGAGAGCTGCTAGAATCTGCCAATAGGTTTTAAATAGCATAATCGAAAGTGATTTTAATTATTATAATATATGATAATTGCAGTGGTTGTAGGGACCGGGAATCTGAATTAAATATGTTAAACCTCCATTTTTCTGGTTGCTATGTTTCGTAAAGGTGTTATCTAGCTCCATGGATATTAATTGGTTAACGGCTATGTTTGTTTTCAGTTTACTCAACCATTTCTTGTGGATTTGTGCCTTTATTTATTTTATTATGATTTTTTCATTAAAACTTAAAGATCATCAACGTAATTTTTAAAAAAATTTATGTATAAAATTAAAAATTAAAATCACTATAATTACTATTTATTAATGGTTTTGATGTTGGATGGATTTCTATAATTAGTATAGCTTCTTTAATATAAAATTTAAATGTTAACATACATAATGCAAGTTTATACGAACAGTTTTGATATATTACATTAACATTTAATTTTATTAACATAAATGTTGATGAATGCTATTAATAAATTCAATATGATGTATAATATTATATATTATTCGTTTCAAGCTACGCCTAGATTGAAAGTTTTAAGAGAGGCAAAACCAGCTGAGATATAGAACAGAAAGTGTTCTTTGTCATTAACATTAATTAATAAAAATAGAAGATTAATTACGCCTTTCCTTTTATTTTAATGTATAAATCTGATACCCTTATTATTTTGTATCGCAGATATATATCCTTGTCAGCATATATATTGGTAACGTTGGTGAGAGATGTGTGCATGACACAACACGTTTGAATGGACTTCATTCAAACATTAAACTATATTATCTTTGCCTTCCAAAGATGGATTTCATTCGATAATTTCGTGTTTAATAGTGCACCTAAGTTCCACTATTTAAGGGACCAAGCTACCTAATAATATTCATTGAAGTGAAGAAAATCTGTAGACTTAGTTATGGCATTGAATGTCTTTCTTCTTTCTAGTGTTGTTGTTCTAATTCTTGGCTCAGTGACAATAATTGAAGCTTCAACATTGTTCATCAATGATATTAGTACATCCCTCAACCGAAATAGTTTCCCCAAAGGTTTTATATTTGGAACAGCATCATCTTCTTACCAGGTACTCTAAAAAATTCAATTAATGATCTTACTTATGTGTAAGATGCTATTATATATGGCTTAAATGTGATGGTATATGGTTTATTTATGCTTAAAATTTCAGTATGAAGGTGCAGCAAATGTTGGTGGTAGAGGACCCAGCATATGGGATACTTTCACTCATAATTATCCAGGTCTTGTTTCTTTGTCTTTTGTAATGTTAATGTAGAAATTTTTATTTTTTTTAAGTTTAACTTCTTCTAACTTAAAAATTGATTTTTGAACTTTGCATTATTTGATATTTTAAAAAAATTTATTGCATATTACAATTATTTTAAGAGTTTTGTTAACTTCAGCTCTAAGGGCTAAGTTTAAGTATCTATAAATAATTTTTTTTTATAAAAAAAGTATATAATTATTATATTAAAGTTATAAAAATAAAATAATACTTTATTTTTTTAATAAAATTTTACTATTATTACCTGTTTAGGATTGAGATTAACAAAATTTTTATTTTAAATAATTAGGTTTTAACCAACACGTGAAATTAATGAATGGGACTAAATTGTTATTCTTAATCATGTGATCTTGATTTTGATTCGGAAGTTCACGTTTATAAGAAACAAAATGTTTGAAACGAATCTCTGAAGAAAAAATTAGAATAATTAGCTTTATTCCTATATATATGCCTCAGGTAATAAAAAATATCAATTACATTCTATTAATTACCCTTGGAGATTATATTTAGGAGAAGGATTAAATCTTACATAGTAATGAATCACGGTTCAAATTTTTATAAGATAAATACTATATTTAATATTGAATAATTTTAAGTATTTTTATAAATTTGTATTAATCATCTAATATATTAAATAAATAAAATACATTTTTTATAGATTTTAAATACATTTAATTTTTTTCATTTCCAAATTTTTCATATAAATATTAGGAAAATTAATAAAATCACATTATAGAAAAATATAACATTACTCTTTATAGCCCATTATATGATAATACTAATTGCAGGATTTTTTTTCTTTTCTTTTCAAAGCGCGCATGGCCGAGTTACACAATGCAACTACAAAAGTAATTGTCATATATATTAAATAATAATAAAAATGTCAGTCAGGACTTGTCTTTATTGTTATAATCTTTATTTAATAAAATTTAATTTATATATGTGTGTGTGTGTGTGTTTACATTAATACTATTATATATCGATCATATATATATATATAAAAAAAGTATAGTGACAAAATAAATAAAATTAATACCACTTATAGCATATAAAACATGTCTGTTTTAGTGTGTGAAAGTATGTTCATCGTATAAAAGGGTCGTTCTTGTATTATTTTATATGAAAATAAGCAGCACAAACATATGTGTGCATAAATATAGAACCAGAAAAAATTAACTAGAAATATGAAAAATATTCTTCTTATTTATTGAATATCCCTATAAATATAAATATTCTTGCAAAGTAGTTTCACCCACTTCTTTGCATTTGTCTTGCCACTAATCAATTTAATTATTCTTGCATGATTATTGATTATTACAGTATTATAATTAAAATCACTTTCGTTGACACTAGATAAAATCTTTTGGCAGATTGCAGGAGATCTGCTCCATGTATATATATATATATATATACACACACACACAGAGAGAGAGAGAGAGAGAGAGAGGTTTAGATTACGAATTTATATTAAGTTCATAAAACTTTGCATAATTTAAGAACTTAATATTTTATCATCAAATTTTATTTTGGGAGGAAACATAGTATAAAATGAGGAAGTGGTCGTTTTCCGCTTATTTTTCACATGGGACATATAAAAAAGGTCTATAGCATCACTCTAATGTATAGAACTTTGACAAAATGAGGGCCCCGGACAGGACTGAACCAAACCCTATTTGGGGATGCAAGTTGAAATTATTCTAACAAAGGGTTAAGAGTTAAATTTTATCTTATAGATGTAAATATTAAAATATAATATAAGTTTCTAATGTTTTACAAAGTTTAGGATGTAATGCCCCATTAACTTGTACGTATGTCCCCAACGTCCTAGTGGATAAGCAAAATAGATTTCAAACATATTAAATAATAAATTAAAAATATTAAAATCAATTAGTATTTTTATAAATTAAAATAATTTCATTTTATAAAAAGGTCTTTTCCATATTATTTAATATGAAAAGAAGCAGTGCAAACATATGTTTTCATAAGTATGGAAACAGACAAAAAATTAAATAGAAAATTAAAAAATATACTTTTTTCTTATTGAATACCCCTATAAATATAAATATGAACTTTGGCTGGGATTGTGCTTTAGTAAAATATATCCCTTCCATAATATTGACTCCAAACAATTTGAACCTCTGACTTTGTAAGTAAAGTTCGTCTAAAGTTGCTGTTCACTTTAAGTGTGAGATCAACCACTCTAATATGATGAGAAACAAAATTAATAAAGAGAAATAAAATTTTAGAGAAAAATATAATCAGTAAGTAAAATAAAAACAATGGAAATAATATTTGTCAAATGGGAAACATAAAATAGATAAAAGTAGGTCACAAAAATTATTCAGAATTTATTAAATTTGAAAAGAGGAGCTGATATCACAGCTGCATGTAATAATATTGTATGGAAATAAATGCAGTTCTGAGTTAGTTTTATTGATTAATTTAGTTAATGTTAATAATTATTCTTTATTTTGAGATGTCCCCAGTTCTGAACATCATATATTCTGCTCAAAATATGACAGATAAAATAAAGGACAGAAGTAATGGAGATGTAGCCATCGATGAATACCATCGTTATAAGGTGCAATACTAAGGATTTCAGTACATGTAATCCAATATACAACTTGATACATAATGTAATAAATTATAATAAAGATAAAGAATAATTGAGAATTTTCTAAAAGTATAATGGTTAATGCAGGAAGATGTTGAGATCATGAAGGACATGAACTTGGACGCTTATAGATTCTCCATCTCTTGGTCCAGGATACTGCCAAGTAAGAAATAGGAAACTCAGAAACATTTTAAACTTTGCACATTACCATTCATTAATCTCAGTCCAATTTAAATTAATTCTTGCTTAAATCAATGCTTATTTTTCTTTGAATGCTAAATGTCTTGACCAACTTTAGAAGGAAAGCTTAGTGGAGGTGTGAACAAGGAAGGAATCAACTATTACAACAACCTCATCAATGAGCTACTAGCGAAAGGTCATCATATGTAGTTTAATGTGTTTCTCTTCTCTTTTTTTTTCATTACTTTTTCTTCCCCATTGATTTGGGTCTAAAAGGTAAATTTGTTACTCTAATTAATATCCACTAATGCAGGTCTTCAACCCTTTGTGACCATTTTTCATTGGGACCTTCCTCAAACCTTAGAAGACGAATATGGTGGCTTTTTAAGCCTTAATATAGTGTAATTCACGTATTTCATATCGCTAATAATCAATATATTTTAGTTAAATGTCCTATTAATTTACTATCTTCGATCTATTTCTTTCCTATCACAATATCTAGGAATGATTTTCGAGACTATGCTGAACTTTGCTTCAAGGAATTTGGAGATAGGGTGAAACATTGGATTACATTGAATGAGCCATGGAGCTTAAGCAAACAAGGGTATGCTGAAGGGAATTTAGCACCTGGACGATGTTCACCTTGGCAATACCCAAATTGCACTGGTGGGAATTCAGCAACTGAACCCTATATAGTGGCTCACAATCAGTTACTTGCTCATGCAGCTGCTGTCAACATCTACAGGACTAAGTATCAGGTTTTTCTACTTGCATTTGAAAAATTCAATTCATGAAGTGTATATTGAGACCTAAACTTATCTTTAATTTGTGTACATAGGCATCTCAAATGGGATGGATAGGGATAACACTAGTTTGTCATTGGATGATACCACTCTATGATACAGAATTGGATCACCAAGCTGCACAAAGAGCCATTGATTTCATGCTTGGATGGTAACTGCTTTATGAACCAAAAATCACGTGGAGCTATATATAGTGTCATTAACATTAACCTTTGTTGATAGGAGATGGCTAATCATAAACTAGAATAGCTTATTTTGTCATCTTTTAATCACTACAATGATATTTATAAAGGAAACATGTATTTCAGGTTTTTGGATCCATTGACAATAGGAGATTATCCAAATTCCATGAGGTCTCTAGTGGGTAGCCGATTACCAAAGTTCTCTAAAAATCAAGCCAGGCTTGTAAGAGGGTCTTTTGATTTTGTTGGATTAAACTACTACACTTCCAATTATGCCACCGATGCACCTGAATTAAGTGAAGCCATGCCTTGCTATCTCACGGATTCTCTTGCTATTCTTACAGGTAGGTGCATTTTTATGAGATTTCATTAATAGAATAGACTTCAATTCATGAAAAAGAGATTATCTTATCTATGTTGCTACTCTAATCAGTATAATGTATCAATTAATTCAATTCCATTTACCTATGATCAGATTGTTATTATTAATTTATATTAGTGTTAGAGCATGATGTATTTTATGTTGACAGATAATCGTAATGGAATACCTATTGGTCCAAAGGTATGTATGTGAATGATTTAGATGCAATAGAAACTACATATCAATGCTTCGTTTCAATCAATTGTTCTGCTTGATGAAGAAAAAGAGACCTATATTTGTAGGCTGCTTCAAGTTGGTTGTATGTTTATCCAAAAGGAATTAGAGAATTGTTGCTCTATATTAAAACAAAGTACAACAACCCTTTGATCTACATCACTGAAAATGGTAATACACCAATTATATTTACATTAATTCAATCTAGCTAATTGTCAAATGTTCATCTATCTGTAAACGATTATTCCTTGGTGCAAAATTAATTTTGATTTATACCAATAATGAGAGATAAAATTTATGCTAGGGTTTATTTCCTTCTAACATATATTTTTATGTGAAATAATTTATATGTAGGAATAGATGAGTTTAATGATCCAACACTCCCGCTTGAGATAGCCCTTGCAGATACACCTAGGATTGATTACTATCATGCTCATCTCTATTATCTTCAAACTGCAATCAAGTAAGTGTGCTATCATATATAATTGTAATTTTTTTTTTCTAGCTAGGGTGTGTTTGGACTTAAACAATGCATAAATTAACAGTGAAACTTAATTGAGAGTCAGTAACTATTTTTCATAAATCATTTGTAATTTTTTTTCCAAATAAGTTCTTAATCTGTTACATATGTTCTAATGTATCCCTATTTTTGTTGGTTTTGAATATATCAGGGATGGCGTGAATGTAAAAGGATATTTTGCATGGTCATTGCTTGATAACTTCGAATGGTCTACAGGATACACTGTGAGATTTGGAATTCATTTTGTAGATTACAAGAATGGCCTCAAAAGACATCCAAAAATGTCAGCCATCTGGTTTAGGAATTTCCTACAGCACAAAATTGTTACATATATATGATGTTTCATGCTAAGATGAACTTCATTGATCATGTGAGAAGTGCCTGAATATTATCATAACGAGCATATGGCTTAAGGGTCACACTTCTTTCTAGCTTTAAGTGTGATGAAATGTGTTAGGATCCACATATATGTATGAGTGGAGTTTGTAATGCTCAGCAGTGTACTGCTTGTTTAAAGAGTGCTGAATTATAAATACTTTAAAGAAAGAAACTTGTATCCAAAATCAAAAAAATGAAGATAACCAATCTGAAAATAAATTTAGTGCAAACAACTTTCAGGGGGCTTAACTATGACATCCCTATCCAATTGCAATGTGGATACTGTGTAGTCCACACAAATAAGGTAGCGTTGAGAGTGAGGTTATGGATGGAATGTGAACGGAGGATAAATTATTAAAATTATCATTTTATTCCATACTTTTAAAAAAATTATTAAATTAGAAATATTTATTACAAATGAAACTCTTCCTCTCCCTTTTCTCCATCAACATATAGGCATTCACTACAAAGAATTATCTCCACGAAATGAGTGCCCAAAACTGACAAACCAATTAGAAGGGTATAACTAAATAAACAATAAAAAAGGCCATGCGGAGTGAGTTACACAAGGAAAATATACAAAACCTTTTTCTAACAATTAATTGTCAAAAAGAATAAATATATTTTGGCTACGAATAAACACTATTAAATTTGAATTGCCACAAGTTTGAAGTGCTTGATTGGAAATACATCGTAGAGACTTTATTGAAATCGCCACATTTCTCCATGATCAAAGGAACGAAATGGATGCAGAAATTCTACTTTCCTGGACCGCTGCTTCAAATTCGAAGGCCTCAACTATAAGTGTTCTTAAAATTGACATATTTCTGAGTGCTCCTTGATTCCTTTTAGCAAGTGGCAAAGCTCTGCACTAACATGAAGAAATGTATCTTCAGCAAGGAATTCTTGAACAACACCATTCACATTAACCCAACTAAACCCTGGCCTTTTTCTGACCCTCCTTTCCCTCATCAACTTCCTTATATCTAAAGCTTCCTTCCACATATTAGCAACGCAATACATATTCCAAAGAAGCATATAAACGCCATCATCATTTGGTTCAAGTTCAATTACCTTCTTTCCTGCTATTTGAGCCATGCTTAAATTCCCATGGACTAGGCAAGCGGTAAGTAATGATCTCCATATAGTAGCATCAGGGCTAATTGGCATCATCTGAATCACTTCTTTTGCATCTTTCAGCAATCCTGCTCTACCAAGAAGATCCACTATGCATCCATAATGCTCAATCTTAGGTTTCAAATAATGGCACTGAATCATTCTATTGAACAACGCTTTTCCTTCCACAACTAACCCAGCATGGCGACAAGCACATAAAACTGACAACAAGGTTACCTCATTTGGGATAACCCCTGATTCCAGCATGCAAGAAAACCCCTCCAAAGCAAGGTTTCCTTCCCCATGACAAGCATACCCTGATATCATTGTAGTCCATGAAAACACATCCTTGTTCAACATTTCATCAAATATCCTCACAGCCAATTCAAGCCTCCCACTTTTGGAGTACATATCCATCATAGCATTGTTCACCGCGACATCCATCTCCAGGCTCGTTTTCTTAACACGACCATGTATGCACCGACCAAAATCAAGAGCACCAACATCAGCACATGCAGATAGCACCGCCACGATCAAATCTGCACAAAGACGAACTCCCCCATCATCACCTTCCATCTGCTTAAGCAGCTCCAAAGCCTGAATTGGAGCTCCTGCCTTGACACACCCAGCAATCATAGCCGTCCAAGAAACCACATTTCTTTCAGGCATGGCATCAAACACTTGACGAGCACAATTCAAATTTTTACACATTATATACCCATTAAACAAACAAGTCCAAGAAAGCACATCCTTGAACCCCATCTTCTCAAAAACCAATGAAGCCATTCCCATCATGCCATTTCTACAATACATGTCAATCAGAGCATTAGCAACAACTGGGTTTTCATCCAAACAATTCCTCAACACCATTCCATGAACAAGCCTCCCTCTATCCAAATCCTTGCAATTCCCACAAGAGGATAAAGCTGCAACAAGAAGGAAGCTATCAGGTCTAAGACCCATATGCAAACAATGGGAAAAGGCATAGAGGGACTTCGTAGGAAGACCAAAATGGAGGTAAAGCTGAAGGAGGCATGTCCATGATACTATAGACCCTCTGTGCTTGTTCTATTTTTCCAACATTCTTGTAATTTTGAAGTAACTTGCATGACAAAGGTTGTTGGAGATTTTTGGTGTGTAATAATCCTAGTGTCACACATAGCGCATGGATTCGCTTGAGTTGGTCAAGGCTTGCACAACTGTGCAGTGTTCTTTGCAAGGATGTGTAATTCATCAAAAATAAAATTGGATCATGGTCATACACTCACAGTTGATCTTGTTAGAAAATAGAACATTTTACATAGAAAAAAAAGGTACAATAATACTACTATATAAGAATTTAAAAGAATGTGCAATTTGTTGTTTAGACATCCTTGCAAAGAACAGAGGATAATCTATATAAATAATATATATATATATATATATATATATATATATATATATATTATTTATCAGTATCCTTCCAATTTTTATGTCTCCCTTTTCCTTCGAGAAATTCCCCGTGACATGTTAAAATGATAAGACGTAAATTCTTGTGTTATTTTAATCCCAAAACAAAATATACTAAATTTATATAATAATAAAAGTTTCTATATCTCTAGGGGTAACAATATAATAATAAAAGCACAATCAATGCAACTAAAATAATCTTCTAAACTTACCAGAATCTATAAAGAATAATAATAAAGAAAATAGATACCAAAATTTTTAATATAAAAGACTCTCGATGTAAAAAAAACAAAAAAAACAGGAGTCATTCAAATAACAAAAAATAACTCTAATGTAAGAGGGTGCAAGAGAGAGTTTTAATCAAATACATAGAACAGTGATAATCATCTTCCAAACATCAAAGGAATAAAACTTATAAATTTTAACTAAGAAGATAAAAAATTTCAAAAAACAGAATAATTGTAAAAAATTAATATTAATATCCCCTGATACACACTTTCAATCAATGATCCAATGAAAAGGAGTAACTACATGTCCTAAATCTTCTTATCAAATTTCAATCCGATCCCAACGGTTAACAAATTTTCAATCGCAATCTTGGGATAATTTCTCTAAGTTTGAGCATAAATAATTTGTCCTTTTCTTTCTGAATATCAGCTTCTCTTTCTTGATAAAATGATCTCAAACTTAACCTTTTTATGACTCCTCTTCTAAGTGAACATAAAATTTGCTTCTCATTTTAATTTTTGCTCCACGTAAGAAAGCATCCCAATAACCAATATTTTTATCATAACACCTGTCTAAGCACCTACTTCTCTCTCTCTCTCTCTCTCTCTCTCTCTCTGTTGTTTTTATCTCTTTTTAAGTCGTAAAAAAAAAGCATCTCTTCTTGTAGAAATTAATGATCTCTAAATTCTTTACTCTCTCTGGCTTTGTTTACTTTTTTATTTGAAGTTCAATTCAAAGAAGGCAATGATAGAATCTGGACAAGTGTTAAAAGATAAGGAAGTTCATGGATTTAATTTGTGTTCTGCAATTGCAATCACAACTTACAGCAATTGTATGATCGGCAATACAATTGCTACTCCAGCACTACAATTTGGGGAATCTTCGAAATTTGTCACAATTTCAAGCTCAGTTTAGAATGATGTTTAAAGTTAGAAACACAGAAAGTGAGTGGGAACAAGTTAATAAGTTAAAGGAAATTAAAATTTAAAAGAGAAACAAGGATTGTTAGACAAGGTATGCCATGTTAACGAAGAAAAGACAACCATGTAATTATATCTCACATAGACACACTACACACACACACAAAACAAATATAGCAATAGCCTTATTTATCACCCATCTTACTTCACACTAGGCACAAAAAATGCCTAATAAGCACTGCTAAAACCTTGGTTGTTCTCCCTAGGATAGGTGGAAACCTTTTGAAACCTCACATAGTAAGGTTCAATGGCATCACCTATAGCCATAACCTTGGTTCCACCAGCATCTACATAGGTCCCAATTGGAGCACAAAGACCTAGAGTACCAGGCACAGTGGGGCAGTACTTGAAGCTATAAATTTCACATGATTGTTCCCCTTCAAGCCTTTCAATTTTGAACTTGCTAGTGACATCTCCAGCTACCCCAAGAGTGCTCACAAACCAAAGCCCTGATCCTACCTTGTTGATCTTCCACACTGTTGGCTGAAAGCAAGGAGTGGACAAGAGAGAAAAATTAACTGTGAGATCAGTGAGTGTTGGAATGTAGTCAAGGCCTGGTACAGTGAACGTCACTGGCAAGCCAATTATGTAAGGGTTACGTGTGACATCAAGAGGGCATGTTTTGTTCATTGTTTCGCCTAGTGCTAGGCCTCCATTGTTAGCCCAAAGTGGCCACACATAGTACCCTACTCCTGGTTCCAAAGGGTTCCCTTGCCTATCAAGCACTGGCTCTGGTTCAGATGCTAGTAGTGGTTGTATGCTGAAGGCCAAGATAAGGAAGCATAATGGAAGGAGTTTAAGCATTGCAACCTTCGCTGTTTCTTTCTACGGTTGAGGCTTAGGATGTTTGTGTCTTTGTGATGGTTCCATGTGTCATATGCATTGACTTATAGTGCTGGATAAGGTTAAGTTTGGGCACGCTAAGTTTAACCAAGATACTACGTGATTTGTATTATTTTTGTTAAAATGGTTTTGTGGGGACTGTATTAGGAACTTTTTGTGTACGTTGCACCAGCTTATTGGCTTTTACATATTATTTGATTTAGAGCAGGTATCGAATGCAGCAGTGTTGATCACTACAACAGAAAAATTCTTTATTGGTATATCCAGTAGAATTGATAACTCAACGCAGAGATAGAGAAGAAACAGAGTAATAAAAGATTCTGTTAAAAAAGTACATTATTACTCAATTTATGCGCATGCTGCACAGGGTTACTAGTTTAAGCACAAAAATTAATTGATTTGGAAAGTTCCTGAATGCAGTACGAAGTTGATAGCTACATCAAAGGTTATGTCAAATTTTTTATATCTTTACATAAATATTTTTGTGGATGTCTTTTTCTAATATTAAATAATCCCCATTACGAAGAATTGCAAAATTCTAAGAAAACATACATATATTATTGTCAGAAATAAATAGTGGGAAAAAAAATTGGCAAAGCTTAGAACAAAGATAGAGACTTTCTAGCCATGTGAAACAGGAAAAGAAAACATCTCCTGATTCTTTCTCACATGGACACACCACACCACAAAAGAGTTGCAGTTTTCTGGCTTATTATGACCCATCTAACTACATTCGAAACAAAAACTACCGAACTACATATTGCTGAAAGCTTGTTTCTTCTCCGGAGAATAGGTGGAAACTTTCTGGAACCTCACATAGTATGTTTCAATATTATCACCAATAGCCATAACTTTGGTTCCATCAGCATCCACGAAGGTTCCCACAGGAGCACACAGAACACCAGGCACACTAGGACAGAACTTGAAGCTATAAATCTCAAAAGCATGGTCCCCTTCCAGCCTCTCAATCTTGAATTTGCTTATGATTTCTTGAGGGTCACCATTGGTACTCAAGAACCAAAACCCTGATCCAACCTTACTAAGCTTCCACACTGTTGGCTGGTTGCAAATGGTACTCACACGAAAATCAATGGTAAGATCAGTGAGAGTTGGAATAACATCAAATCCTGGTGCAAAAAATGCCACTGGCGAGCCAATGAATGAAGGGTCACGAATAACATCAAGAGGGCATGTCTTGTTCCTTGTTTGGCCAAGTGTAAGGCCACCATCATCAGCCCATAGTGGCCACACATAGTACCCTACTCCTGGTCGTAGTGGCTCACCTTGCTTGTCAACCACTGGTTCTGGTTCAGCTCCTAGTAGTGGTTGTGTGTTGAAGGCCAATAGAAGGAAACATATTGGGAGGAATTGAAACATAGCAACCTTCATTGTTTGTTTCTCTAATGTGTGTGTCTTCCTAGTGTGTTACAATTTATGTTTAATGCATTGATATATAGTGCTGAATTAGGTGAAATTTGAGCATTCGGATGCTACACCAAAGTTTCTTTCTGATTATTTTAATCTTTTTTTGGAGGGTATATATGCAGCACGAGCTTACTAGTTTTAAGTTGGCATAAAAAAAATTGATTTGATTTAGATAAGTTACATGAATGATAACTAGAAAAATATGTAATTGCTGTGTCGAATGTTTGTGCTTATATTATATTTGCCATGAGTAGCACGCGGGTTAGTTTAAAATAAAAATTTTAGCATTCGTGGAAAGCATTCATAATACAATTGTGTACGAAGACTGGGACCCTCGTCTATTTACACGGCAAACGAGGATTGTGTCAATCTATGACTGAACCATCACTTACACTGAAACTCCATGTGCCAAGCTCAGATTAAAAAGAAAATAAAAATAAAAGGTGAAAGACATTGGGTCAATTTTTTTATATGAAAAAAAATCAAAACAAAGTATTTTTAAAAAAATTACAAATATTTTATTTTTTTATTTTTTTAAAAAATAATCAGTGATGGAATTTTATTTTTTGTTATTAAATCAGTGCTTACATAAAAAATGTAGTGATGATTTTTAAATTTTAAATTTTTGTGATTTTTTAAAAAATATCATATTTTAGTATATATTTTTTAAAATTTTATATTAAAAAATATTCCGAAAGACATTCAGTAAAAGATATTTATTTAGTTTTATTTTTTTTTGAATATTTATAAGAGATAAAAAATTAAATAATAATATAAATTAAAAAGTTCTAAATTAAATTAATTTATATTTTTTTAGATGTTATTCTTATTCAAAATTCTTAAAATTTGAAAAGATAAATTATTTTTAACTTATAAAAGAAATTTTATTATTGTTTATATTATATTTGTTATATTATAAAGATTTCTCTAAAAATTTTAAAATAATTCTAGCATCAGTTTAACTTTAATTTTAAATATATTTTTAAAAATATATATAAACAAAAATTAAAACGTTTATAAAAAATTATTATATAATATTGTGTAAATAACAAAACTGTTTCTTCCCATTATATTAGTATCTCTTTGTATTCTTCATCGTTGCATTTGTGCCATAATCATCTTAAAGGGAGCGATTATAGGTTTGCCCAAAGGGTAATGATATTTTACACATTATTATTATTATTATTATTATTATTATTATTATTATATAAATAAGCGGGGCTAGAGCAAAATACATTTGTACCCAGTGAATGTTCAAAATATATAAAAATAATGTTGATTTTAAATTATTAATTTTAAATTTTTTAGTATCAAATTACTTCACAAGTCTATAAATATTGTATAAATTAAAAATTAATTAATAATTTTTTAAATTATTTTATCTTAATGTTTAATATATACTTTTAAAATATTAATAAATATTGATTACAAAATTATGTCTGATTTATTTAAAATTTGATATACATATCAATATAAATATATCATCTTATTCAATTTATAAAATTTAATATTTTAAAAATATTATTCAGTATTAGCAAAAAAAAAAAATATTATTCAGTAATTTAATCTTCACTAAATATAAACATATCTCATCTTAGTCTTTTCTTGTAAGAGTAATTTAATCTTCACTCAACATGTTTGGCTGTTTTCGTTATTTACACTAACAAGTTTTTTTTTTTTTTTTTTTCCATTGCACGAGTTCTTAAAATTTATAATGAGCACAACATTCACATCAATTATTTATATGTCGTTTTTTATGGAAAAAATATATTTTAAAATATTCATAAAAAAATAAAACTAATTTTACTATTATTTTAAAACTTAAATATAAGTTGGGCCAGATTTAAATTAAAATGGATGAAAAATAATTATAAAACGATGGCATTTTTGTGAAATGTTAAAAATAAAATGTTTTTTTATTGATAAAATTTATATTTTTATTCTTCAATTTAAAAGTTAAATTTGATTTTATCTTTTTAACTTTATTTTAATTTATTCTAGTTCATAACTTTTTAAAAATGATTTAAATAAGTTTTTTTTTTAAATATTAACTTGTTAATATTTTTTTTTCACTATTTTATATTGTTCATTGTCTCCTTCAATAAATTTGTAAGTTGTTATTTTTTTTAAAATATTTAATTTTGCTTTCTTCCTCAAATTTGTTCAATACTTTATTATATTTTTCCTAAATCACTTTTAAATCAAACCTCTTGACAAATACAGATATGAGAATTACTGAGACATGAATCTTCAATAGCTCTAAAAAATGCTCTTGAAATCTTCTCTCCATTCATGAGTTCTTTGTAGTCTATGAAAGTATCAACTCCCTTTTGGCAGACAGCATGAGCATGATAGAGATGGCCTGCAAAACTCATGGGTGAGAGTCTATTGGCACTCCTCTACAAATAAATTTTATGTAAATTACTCTTTTTCATTGGTTAATTAAATTATTAACAATAATATTTAAATAAAAAAATCAAAACTTTTGTCATTTCCTCTAAAATGTGTACCACATATTTTTCAGGGCATCGTGTTCACAGAGATCAGAATGTTGCTGGGCTGATTGAATAAGTTGGAGAGTGAAGTTATGCAGATGGAAAGAAAGGAATCAAATACAAGACAATGGAGTCATGGACTCCAGTATTCATTCCAAGTGTTCTATTATAGCCTTACCTGTGGCTATTGGAATATTTTCCATAAATACTATGCCCCCTCTTTTTTTGAGGGTACATGTGTTCTTAATCATTTTTCATATAAAATGGCATTTGAGATATTTAAAGTCTACTATGGAAATTAATTAACAGTTACCAAATAAGATATCAAAATTTACAAACATCAAAGCTATCATTACAGATGTTTCAAATTATTGAACATCTAGTCGTCTAATAAATAACAATTTGTAAGTACATACACATACAATTTTTATAACTACAAAAAATTATATAATTTTTAATACTATAATCAGTATCATAAGCCATAACAATTCTTTTGAGAAACTATAATTTAACTGTCTATTTTACAGAATAATACTTCAACAACGTATCAGTATTTCCCACGATACTTCAAATGGTAGTATACTGCTCAACTCCCAAGAATATGCAAGATTTTGTCAAACTTCTCTCTAATCTTTGACCACTCATCCTCAATGTTTGCTTTGGTAGATTTTGCTGATTCTTGCTCTGCTCTCAATCGCGGCCTCCGCTTCCTCAACTCATCTCTTTGAGCTTTCAACATTCTTCCTTCCTCAAAGGTTTCTCTTTTCTTTCTAAGAGCAGTGTCCCTAGCCACTGCAGAGATGGAGATGTTACCTTTAATTTCATTAATTTTCTCTTCTAGTTCTTTCTTTCTTTCTTCCAAATAAGCCAACTGATTGCATAGGTCATTTTCTATGGATACAAATTCACTGAACTGGTTCTTGTTCGCTATTAGACCCTCTTCTAGTGTATCTAGCTTTGATAGACCTGCTGTTGAGGACTTAAGTTTCATGGTTGCATCAATATAGTCCCAACTCCACTGGCTAAAGTCTGCTGAAAGTTGAATTATTAGAGACTTTAAATTCAGTGAGACATCATCATCATCTGCGAGCAAAGTACACAGATATTCTAAGGTAGTTTTGAGGGATGTTAATGATGCTGGGTCTAAAATTTGGAAAAATTGTTTGGAGAGGAATTCTTTTAGGATTTTCAAGGATTTCTTATTTTCTTCACTCATTTTAGGATAAGACAATTTTGAATAATTTCTGGTACCTCCTAATGCTAAAGAGAATGGAGTGGTTTCAGCATGGAGGGCAGCATAAAATGCTTCCATGTTGTCATCTCTCAGGTTTAGGTCAAACTGACATGTTTTGTATTCCAATGGAATCACTTTAATTTCATCCCTCTTAGTTTCATATTCCTTCACTGAAGGTCCTTCTAGCTCCGATTCTTGATCAACTAGTACAATATTCTCTGCAGGATGGATAGTAGGGGGCACTTTCTGAGTTGGCTCTGACTTACAAGTGGATGATATGGAAGCTTCAGCCTCATGCCATGAATTCTGTTTTCTGTTTCTCAAATAGAAAGAGTTTTCAGAGAGCTCAACATAGAATTGGGGGATGCTTGTTTGAGGGAAGCTGTTTCTATGATCATGTTGATCTCCCATGTCTTGTACACGATTTGTAGCAATAATTGGTGCCTGAATAGTAGAGGGGTCAATGCTATATTATAATTTGTGTATGTATTATCATAGTATACAAAAAATGAAAAACAAATTTTACCTCTGCTGTTCTCTGTGACTCCACATATTCTGTTCTTATTTTCATATGAGATTCTGAGTCCTCCTTAAGAACAACTGTTTTGGAAGCTTCTATTACAGCTTTGGTAGGAGCTAGATCCCTACCCTGTGTTGGCCTGACTTCTGTAACCACAAAATCACTTACCTTGAGTGGTCTACTTAAAATCTATTCGTGCCTAATAATTTATTTTTATCGCTTGACTCAAGAGATATGGCTTTTTTAAGTTTCTGTATACCTCTGCTTGACAACTGACATTTAAATAAATTATTTACACAAGATAAGGATTTAAATTTCTATAGAATTTATTTTATTTAAAGTAAATAGTATGATTAGTCGAATGAGTTGTATTCTAGTAACCTACAATTCTGCATATCCTGTACCTGCTCTCAATCAATGTCAAGTTCATTGTGTTAGGTAGAGAACAATCAATATTGTCAACTTGTTATTTTGTCTTAATTGCATAATAACTTCATGATTAGTTAAATTTTTCAAGATTTTTAGACAATTTAGCATTTTCATCAAGTATTTAAATATGAACAAGAAACTATTGAAAAGCAGTGAGAACTATCTTGTTTTCACACAGATGCCTGTTTCTTCCATCTTTTCCCTTCATTTAAAATTGATACTTGTTTATATCCACATTATATGATCTCGAATTTCTAATTAATAATTTAGGTTTAAAAATGGAATTCAAACACTAATAATGTAATGATGTTAGCTGATCAGAGAAGTATGCTAAAACAGTGCGGTTTAGAAAATCTGTACAGGGCAGTTAAACAAAAAAGTTTTCAAGCCAATTTCAAATTCTAATTTAGATATATATTTTTCACTGATACCTTTGTCTTGACAGTCAATAGGAAAAGGTTGATTCTCTGTCATGTGGTTTAACTGACATTCTAATAGCATCGGATCCCAGGTTATATCATTATATAGCTGAAGATGCAACAAAGACATCTCCTTGTTTTGATGCATTTCATCAGCCCACAGAACATCTCCATTTCTTCTCTTATTCTGGTCCATCAAATCGTTATCTTCGAGCATTCCTGGGTTGATTGAAGCTGAAATTTGTTGCATCTGCTCATCTGATATTTCATGAATCCTCAAATTTTCAGCCAGTGACCAGCAATCAATTCCCGGGTTACCATCATAATTATCGGTTTCCCTAGCAAATTGAGTGTTATCGAAGTACTCGTTATCAATATAAATCACTCCAGTGTCACTACTACTAGGATTAGAACTTGTGCACAACATCAAATTTCGTTTTTTCAATTCCTCATCTTCCTTATATTCATGAACACCACTACAGTATACCATCACTTTTGCAGCTTTACTAGTATCAACGATTTCACAAGAAACTTCCACATGATTCTGTTCATGCAATAAATATGTATTTAAATCCATCACATCTTCTTGATGATACATCCATGCAAGATCTCCACATACTGAAAGAAAGTGCTGTACTCTATTGGATGCTTTCTGTCCATTAATAAAAAGCTGAACTTCACAGGTGAAAAATCCAATAATTTTATTTCCTAGTCCAAAAATGAAACACAGAGCAATTCTAGGGAACTTCTGGCCTATCCAGAATGACAACGATCCTCCTTTGCTTTGACAGCTAAATTGCAATGGTATCACTGGCCTTGGTGCTATAACTTCGTATTTTCCAGTCTTGTAGAATCTCTGTAACAGGAAAGATATAACTTAGAACACCTTCGTAGTACACAGAAAGAGAATGAATTGTACAGAAGGAGACAAACCTGACTTAATAGTAGGCTCAATGACTGTAAATTCAGCAGTGTGCAACTAGTGGCATCTATATGTTCTAAATTTGGTGGAATCCCAGAAATGTATTGAACATTTCTGCAATTGGCCATGTAAAGCTCCTGCAAGCTACAAAGTCTGTTGAAGCATTTCGGTAAGGTTACAAAATGGTTTCTTGATATGTCTAAGGATGTAAGGTTGGAAAGGAAACTAAGGATATGTAGATCTTTGTCGGATAGATTGCAGCCGCAGAGATCAAGGCTGTCCAACAAAGGGAATCCATATGAGGAATGGATGCCAGGAGAGATTAAATCTAAACATGGTTCTGGACCTGCTGTTAGTAACTCTAAATTTGATGAACTTTCATTAGACTGAGGGTGCAGAGTTGAGCAATGTTGTGTGCAGCAACAACAGATCTTCTCTGGAAATAGTTGAAGATGTGGACAGCCAGAAATATCAAGTAACTGAAGATTTGGCAACATATCAATGGCTCTAGGAAGGTCCTTAAGATTTGAGCAGCATTTTAGAACTAAAATCTCAAGGCTGCTGAAATTGACTATATAAGAAGGCAGTTCTTGTATAGCTGTCTCCTCCATCTCAATAATTCTCAGATTTTCCATTTTTCCCAACAAAGCTGGGAACTTTTCAAGTTGAGAACACCCATTAAGAGCAATGCATGCTAAAGATGGCAACTGGAGGACACATGGTAATTTTTTTAGGTCGGTGCACCTTTCAACACCTAAATAAACTAGTTTATCAAGTGATCCAAGTGATTCATGAATCTCAACTAAACCTGTACAATCTTCAAGAATCAATTGCTCTAAATTTGGGATTCCAGAAATATCAGGTATTTTTGTCAGAAATTCACAGGAACTTAAATTCAGAGAAGTCAAATTTACATGTTTCTGTGAAATAGAAATTAAGATGGTTACTTTTATGAAGTTGTCAATAACAGAAAAAAAGGAGTATCGATAGATAATCTTCATACCTTAAATGGCCTATCCAATGTTAGGTGACTATGCTTCAACTCTAGCATTACAATTTTCTCTGGGAGGAAATCAGATGGTAAACATGTAGAAGGGTATTCCTCCCAGTCAAGCATCCTTAGATTGGTTGGTAGATGTACAAGTCCTCCAAAAAATTCAGCATTACGAACTATTAGCATTCTAAGGTTTTTCATCCTTTTGAGGTCTTGAGCTTTTAGCTGCACCTCTTGCTTTTCAGGCATGTTCAGCATTATACCTTGAATCTTGTCAGTTCCCTTAACAAATTATCATGTACAGCTTAATCAGTTTAAAAGCTAAGATATATTCCACATCTTTAAAGAACATTTCCCAAGTTAACAAGCATATGTTGCCAACCAAATGAAAAAAGACAATTTTGGAAAGGATCTTACCTTCCCTTCGGTCAGTACTTGAAGCACATCCTCATAATACCATAGCCTGCTGCGTTGTCCAGGATCTAATGGTGATTCCTGCCTAACAATTTCCTTACCCATGTCTTGTATAAGATCATGCATCGACAACGTTCCTCTTTCATCGACATTTATGAGAGACTTATCTACAAGTATTGCAATACCAATAGCAGGATGCAGATCACAAGCACGTAATGCTTTTACAGCATATTCCATTATCTCTCCTTTGAAGAAACATGCAATGTATAGGAAAATTTCCTTTTCATTTTCCTCTAACCCATCAAAGCTTATTTTAAGTATATCCTGAACTTTCCTATTTGGAGTTCTCTTATATTTATCCAATGCAGACTCCCATTGATGAATACTTCTACCACACAAATCAGAACCTAATATTTTCAAAGCCAATGGAAGACCCTCTGCATAACATACGGCACGATTTGAAATGTCGAAGTACCTTGCATCAGGCTCACCTTGTTTGAAGGCATTCCAACTAAATAGTTGAAGAGCTTCAAGATGATTTAACTTCTTTACCTCATAAGCCAAATCAATTTGATGAGCAGTTAGCAAATGTTTATCCCTTGTAGTTATAATAATCCTACTTCCAAGACCAAACCAATCTAATCCTCCAGCCAATGCTTGTAGTTGTTCCACATCATCCACATTATCAAGAACAAGTAGAACTCTTTTCCTACATAGCCTCTCTTTTATTATATTGATTCCTTTGTCAACATTGCCCAACTTTATTGTTTTCTCTCCAAGTATCTCAAATAGAAGTTTCTCTTGGAGTTTAACTAAGCCAGACCTATGGCTTGCATTTTCTCTAACATTTGCTAGAAAACTGGCATGTTGAAATTGATCAGATACTGTGTTATACACAGCTTTAGCAATTGTTGTTTTACCAATTCCACCAATGCCATAAATTCCTACCATTCTAACATCATCACATCCAAGTTCTAATAGTGAATTTACATCCGATACACGAGCTTGGAGTCCCACAGGGTGTCTAGCAACATTTAGTGGGATGCGATTCAACTTTCTTGATACCTCATCCACTATTTTCTGGATAAATTTAAATTCATACCTAACAAACAATGTTGAAAAATAAGCAACAGAAATAACTATTTCTCGTGCACTAAAATATATTTTTTGTGATGTATAATAAATTTTCACAGCAGGATAAAGTTTTCCTGCATTACTCCTTTGGAGGCAATCAATTCAATTAGGACAAACTGTCTCATTACAGGATTTTTCTAATCAGGTAGAATGGAAATGAAAATCTTGCTCAAATTTTAGAGTGCTCAATTGCTCTTATGTTTTTTATGACCAGCATTTTAAAACCAATGATTTAATAATGAATGAAATGAGTTGATAAATTGATAGGTTAATTTAGATAACTTAAAGATGTGGTGATTGGAACATCGTTTGATCACCAACTACTGTAGGACTGAGTGGCAGAAAACTCATATTCTGTTAAACAAGGTTTCGAATTTAAATCTTACAAAAGAATAAAACAAGGCTGGGAGATCCTTGCCTCCTAAGTTAGCCTACCCACCCAAAGTGGCTTCCAGATGCCGAGGCTTTCAGGTATATAATTTTATCATGTCACAAATGAAAAAGTAGATACATGAGAATTAAAAGAACAAATTTACTTACACTTTTTCAGTTACTGGTGCATCCCATAAAGAGCATACATTTTAATTTTGATCTTATTGTCAAATACAAAGTTCTTTTTTTTTTCCACAATCATCAAATCATAGTGATGCATACGGTTAACCTCATTTAGTGAGGTGGCAGTACAATATTAGAAAATAGTGTAAAAAACCATATAGAAAGGAGAAGAGGTGATTGAATATTTCTGGATCTGAATTTATATAAGTGTACAAGGATCTATATTAATTACAAAATATTATCTAATAAAAAATGTAATCCTAATATTATGTTCCTAATTACCATATTCACATATCAACAATAAAAAAAGTTTTATACTGAGGCAGAATCAAAACTAAAATCACATTTCAATGCTAAAGTTTTTAACAAAAGATGGTGACCAGAAGAAACAGAACTACTTAAAATTGATATACCCATTACTGAAATGCCAGCCAGACAAGTTTGCTGCTTCAGACAAAGCTGATCTCCATTTCTGCACCTTTTCCTTGTTCTCTTTGAATCTTTCTTCAAGCTTAACAAATGCTTCTTCATAACTTCCTTTCTGGTGCCGCACATTGGCAGGACTCACATTATAGAAAACTAAGAAAACCACTTGTCCCCTATACTTCTTACACTCAAGGATCTTCACTAGTTCATCAAGGCACCAAGTTGAAGAAGCATAGTTCTTGGAGAATATGATGATGGAAATCATGGACTCTTCTATTGCTCTAAGAAGAGATGGTGAAATCTCTTCTCCAATCCTCAATCCTTCATCATCTATGAAAGTGTTGATTCCCCTTTGATCAAGAGCATTGTAAAGGTTGCCAGCAAAAGTGTCACGGGTATCTTCACCTCTAAAGCTCAAGAAAACATGGTAAAACCATCCATGGCTAAAAGAAGAATTGGAGGAGGATGAGGCAGCCATATGGTGTAACATCATAGCTCAGATCATGAGTTATCTCTTAATGATATGTAAGTAAATGCAATGTTCATTGATTCTTGTATGCAAAAAATTTAAGCAATGGATCATTTTTTTGATTCTGTTTGTTGGTTCCATTTAGTCAATTATAATGTTCTTGTTTTCCAAGAAAAGAAAAAATAAAGAATCAAAATGTGTATGATGATGTTACAAAGTCAACAGTTTTACAAGCTTTTCTTCCTACTTTTTGGACCTTGAACTACGGCTAGAATAAGAATATAATAATAGCTTCTTACATAAAATTTGACTTTAAAAATAAGAATTTTAATAGTTTTTTTGTTAAAATATTCTGATCTACATTTTGTCAAAACTTTTTTGCCTTGCTTCAATGTTCCTGATCTTCAGTTTTTATTTTTTGGTTTTAAACAGTCATAATATTTAAATTATGATTTTAGTTTTGTCAAATTATTTGTAAGTTTCTCTTTGTAGAAAAAAAAATAATACATGGATGAATGAATCTTAAAATAAATAAATTGCATGTAATTAATATATACGTTTTTTCTCATTCACCCAAGGTCTGCCCTCTTAATATATCAAAGTATCATGTAATATAATTTATAAATACAACTATTAATGAAATATTTTGTAATTTAATTGGAAGACACTGATAATGTGAAGGTTTTTTACGTTGCCAATCAATCGATTGTCATTATTGAAATTCATTAGCTTTCATAACTATTTCAAAAGTCATATCTTGAGTGTTATCGAATTGATTAATAGTCTAAAATTTTGACGCGAACATTAGTAAAATAATAATATTTTTAAGTAATTAATATTTATACCTTTAATATAATGGTTGATGCATTATGTAAGGAAGGAAATACAACAGAAGCTAAAAATTGTTTACTTAGAATTCTTTAATGGATCAAGACTATGTGGCTCAAAGAGGAGTGGTTCCAAACGTTCAAAACGATGATCATGTAAGATTAAAATATAAAAAATGAATAAAACTACTTTTACAAGTTAAAATTAATTTATATTTTTCTATTTTTAAAAAATTACTCTCATTTAATTTCTTTAAAACCTGAAAAGATAAATTATTTTTAACTGAGAAACTATTATTAAGGGTTTATGTAAGATCTAAATGATATAGTAACTCGCAGTTTACATATTAATAGTTTGTATAAATCAGGGAAATCTTACATTGTTAGAAGCTTCTTAACGAGATACGTTATAAAGGTGAACCTGCTAATGTATCATTAAAAAGAGTTTTGTTAATCTGTGTTCTTAAAAGACTAAATTTAAATATTTATAAATTAAAAAAATTTATAAAAAATATTTATTATATTAAAATTAAAAATACAGAAAATGTTTCTCTTTTTGATAAAATTTACTGTTATTAATTATTTATTCTCAACTTAATAAAATTCAATCTTTTGAATAAAAGCATCCCTCTTTCTTTTTTCTCAATAGTAAAGCCGGCCTGTTTCATGAAGGGGGCTTTGTTCACAACCTCTTATTCTACGTATTATGTTATGAACATTGAGCCTTGTGAAGCGGGCCTGGTTGATGAAGACAAACTATCCCATTAATGAATCAATTATTTATTTATTATAAATAATAATATAATTCTCTTAATTTAAAAATAAAAAATTACCCTCTTTCCCTTTTCTCTTTAAAATTTCTCTCCTAAACAATTCCTCTAGATCCTTACAAGTTCAACCATGAACCAAGTGGAAGAACTTTGTAAAGTAGCAGCATAAAAGTCAAGGGTGCATCTCCTATGCAATAGTGGATCATTCTTTTGCTCGTAGGTTGATTCCATTTTGCCAAATATGAAGAGTGAAACAATGTAAACAGTAATTTTCATTGTAGAGAGCAATTACTCGTCTAGTAATATTAACTTTATAAAATAATGTTAGCATCCTACACCCAAAAAAATGTTAACATTCTCTTACCATTTTGAATCATGAGGCAAAAACACATTAAATTATCTCCCTCCCCCACAACCCTGCAAGTATACTCAAATCAAAGCTTTAAGTGCATGTTTGGAAAAACGTTGAAAATAAAAAAATTTATTCCATACAGGTGTAACAAACTTAATTTTTCTCATTTTGAATATTATTAAATCATAATTTAGTAGGACCAGAACAAATATTGTCATATGATATGAAATAAGAGCATTTTTATTTTATTTTTTTATAGATAAGATCATGAAATTAAAATCAAAAGTAAAATGTTCATTTTTTACCAGAGGTATAACAAATGTCAGAGCTCAGTTTAGCTCATCATGGAGTTGGTATAAGGTATTGACACTAACTAAAATCGAAATTTAGTTTGTTAATTTCCACTTTCTTGTTGACAAACCTGAATGGATTTACCATCCAAGGCCTCACAATTTATCTCATTTAAGATTTTGTTGAATTTTTCACCAAGCTTTGACCATTCAACTCGAATATTTGCTTGAATTTTCTTGGCTGCTTCCCAGTCAACTCTCAGGTGAGGCACTTGTTCCCTCAAATCATCTCTTTGTGCTTTGAGAGTCTTTGCTTCTTCAAAAACTTCCCTTTTTCTCTTAGTACTTGCGATCTTAGCTGATTGAAAAACAGAAATGTTAGCTTTAATTGCATTTATTTGCTCTTCTAGCTCTTTCTTTCTTTGCTCCAAACATGATAGCTGGTTGCTTAACTCATTTTCCAAGGATGAAACTTCCTTGAACTCGTTCTTGTTAGCTTCAAGACTCTCTTCTAGTTTATCTGCTCTCGAGATGTTGGTGCTCGCAGACTCTATTTTCCTACTCGCATCGTTGTAGTCACAACTCCGGCGAGTGAATTCTCTAGAAACTTCTAATATCAACAGCCTCATTTCTGCAGAGATTCCATCATCTGCAGACAACTTGGATAGGTACTCTATGGTGGATTTGATGGTACAAGATTGTCCACTCTGCAATAGAACAGAGAAGTCTTTGGAGAGAAGGTCTTCAAGGGTTTTCAATGCTTTCTTAGTCTCTTCACAAGGAGTGGTATTGGATGATAATTCAGTAATGACTGGGGTATCCTGGGAAGGAGACATAACTGAGGTTTCGGCGTCAAGAGAAGCATAAAATGCTTTCATTTCTACATCATCCAGAGTCAATTCCCCCCCTTGATTCTTGGGAGATTCAATGCTAGACAGCAAAATAGAGGAACTGGGTTTTGGATGTAGCTCTTCTACAGGACTAGGAGCACTTTCAATAGATGCAATAGCAGTAGAAGCTCGCATATTTGGAGATGGAGAAAAAATTGTGACTTGGGATTCAGGTTCAACCTTTAACGGGCGAACCATAAGGGCTGTGTTTAATCCAGATTCTACAAAAGAAGAAAAATATAATAGTTGTATTTGAAGGCGAAAAATATAATAGTTGTATTTGAAGGCAATCCGGAGGCATTTTCTATGAACAAATGGAAAAATCATGCACAGCCACATTCCAATTGGAAGAAATGCAAAATTTAATTACGAAACACAGGACAGGAAATCAAGTTGGTCAAGCTGCCACCATAGATATATTAAAGAAATTTTGCATACCAAATATCAAAATTTAGCATTAAAGCAAATAGTAAATGTTGTCAAAATAAAACTCTTACTCTATTTTCGGTTGTTATCTACCATATATTGCATTGGTTCATCAACTACTGAGTTTTATCAGCAACTTGAGGCAGACAACGATATAACAGACCCATGTGTAGGTGATCAACTATACTTACAAGAAAAGCTAAGAACCTATAAACATTTAGATGTTATGTCCTTCCTAAATTTTAAAACATTTTCAATCAATAACTAGTCATGATATTGTTTGGCTCCATCCACCAAAGAACATTATAATGGAGCTTGATCAATTATATGGAAGCTAAATGAGTAAAGAAAAATGGGAGATAACATCAATTCAGGGGAACAAAGATAATGCTTACCTTTGACACGACTGGGACCTCTGAAATACACTGAAGCCATTGAATCCCGAGTAACAATATCCATTGGTTTTGGACGCTTGGGGCATATGATCAAATGACGCTTCAAATGAGAAGTTCCACAGTTGTCTTGCAACCGTTTTCCACAGTGCTTGCACAAAACTTTACTACCATCACTTGTTTGAATTCGCTGCATTTCTTCCCATACTTTAGAAGTCATTTTTGGGCGCTTGGAACTATTGCAATCTTCATATTCATAATCTGTCTCAATGCTCGTCATATGCTCATTTGTCATTTTTTCCTGTTCAACAAATATCAATTAAACTTAGCAAAGCATTGCATAATTTCAACTTCAAAAGGTGTTGCTCACACAGTGAAATGGGTTTACAAAGACCTGAACACTGATATCTATTATACATCAACAACAACAACCAAGCCTTTAACAATTAAATCTTTAAACAAAAACACCTGCCCAGTATTTTAGTTACAGCCAAACCAAGAGATATTGTAGTTTACACCAATTAATGAAACGGAAAAAGAGAAAAGGAAGAAAGAGAGAGAGAGATCTTAATGATTTCAATTCTTAAGGAATTCGAACCATTGGCTATCCAGCTCATATAACTCCCAAAAAATTGCATGCTACTCTTGCATCAAATGCATCATCATAGTTAAAATCTGTCTCTAATCTTCAATACAAGATAAATTTGTACATTGCAATTCGACCTTAATGGCCTGCAAACAATACAAAGATAGTTTTGCCATTTTGGTTTATCATTCATATTATTTGTATTTTATTATTATATTATTTTTAAAAATATGACAACCAATTTCTTCATCAATGGTTATAATTCCAAAGATGATCCTCCTCCATCTTTTTCTAGTTTCAGGTACCATTGAACTCCTCCAACATAAACCCAATTTCACTCCACCCCCTTCAAATTTCCCACAAATACCAAAGCTTTGCACAACCAAATTTCAGCTTAGAACCGTCCAATAGCCAAAGTCCCAATTTTTATCACAAACAATTATCATCTGTAACATTTTCCCCAATGGGTAACCTCATTTTTCAACATTCAAGTTTCACAGATCTCAACCACAAATGATAAAATTAAAAATTCACAAATTCTCTATTACATCATGTTACAATCTAAATTCAATGATAAAAGTGAAGCCCAGAACATAAAAGAGCAAGCCCTATCAATTTGACAACCACATGTTGAAATTGAAACAAAGATAAAGATTTTAGAGTGAAAAGAAATCGATGAAACCAAAATACATAGTTTCAATAAGAATTAGAAGAAGGGTGTGAGTGTGGTGTTACTTGGGTTCTGCTGTTACACGAAGCGAGGTGAAGGTGCTTGCGGCGTTAGTGGCAGTCTAGAGACCTTAGCAGCAGAAAGAGACAGAAACTGTGTCAGAGGAGACAAAGAAGACGAACAGAAACTCGGGTATGTAGGTCTCGGGCTTGAGCCCGGGCCAGGCTATGCGGTCACTGATTCAGGCCTGAACCCATGGGCCGGAAAATTTGATAAGCCCTAGATGAGAAAAACCTGTTTTTGGGACGGGTACTAAGGTCTAAGGATTTATTAAACATATTTATCTTATAAAAAGTTTAAACTTATAATTAATATAAATTTAATTTAAATATATTAATATGTAAGTTTTTTTTTTACTCAAACCGGATTTGTTAATTTGACAAGAATTATTAATTTTTGTAATAATTAATATAAAAATTACATTCAAAATTTATTTTAATTAGTTGATAGTATATATTTTTTATTAATAATGTATTAAAATTAAAATTTATTGATATTAATTTTTATTTGTATTGCTAATACCTTAATAGAAATATTATTATTTTAAAAAATATTAAATTATCACTTTTTAAAAATATTATTATCTTAATTATTATACTAATAATTTTTACAAAAAAAATCATCTTTTAAAAAATAATGAGTTAAAAAGTATTAAAAAATCATAAAAATACCATTTAATATTTATTAGCTAGCAAAAACTAATTTTATTAAGTAATTTAATTTTAATTTATTTTTTTAATTGTATTTTACTTATTAATTACTTTTGTTAAATATAATCTTTGTCTTGGAAAGATTTATTTATATATTTTTTTTGTTATTAAAACTTTTCGTCTTCAAAAATTGTTACTCAAAGTTGTCAAATTTAGTTCACCTGCCAAATTTGTTAATTTGTTTACAAGTTGCTTTTGAAGACTAACATAAAAAAATTTTGAAGGACTAAATTTAATATATTTTTCAATCAATAAATCTCATTATTATTATTATTATTATTATTATTATTATTATTATTATTATTATTATTATTGTGTGCTCATAATTTTTTTCAATTTGTATCAGTTTATAATCACACTCTTTTTAAATGTTTTTTTATTAATAAATAAATTATATATAAAGAACGGTTTTTTTCCTTAAAAGAATATATTCTGATACAATAATTCTTTCAAATATGAAACACAAGCATAATTTTTTTTCTTTAAATGTTTTCATGATTATACTCACTGAAGTATTTTCTGTCACTCCCAAAGCATTTTACATCAAATCGTGTCCAAATAGATAGACTCAGTAGAGCCAACATTAATACATGATATCTAGAAGAATTTATTAGAAAAGACTATTTACTTTAGTGATATGCTGTCTCAAAAAAGAATAATTTGGTTCACACAAAAGAAAAAGAAGAAAAAGGAAAGCAGAGCTGACTTCAAATTGTGAAATAAACTCAAATGTCTCCACTCATGACTTTCACAATCAAAACAGTAAGTACCTCATTAATTAACATTATACTATTTCTGATGCAAACTTTCTGTATCCGTGTGATAAAGTGTAAATACTCCCAAAATTTTAGAACACTCGACAGACAAATGATTTGATGTGGAATCAGCTGATTCAGCTCTAGGGTATGAAAGATCAAACATTAAAGAAATCTGTTTTTTTCGCCTTTTGGTGTGCATTTTGATCTGATTTTGTAAATTTACTTTATTCAGAAGTGAGTTTGTAATAAAACTATATATCTTTAGAAACATTTGTTAATCTGATTTTAATAAAGTACATGTTATTTCAGTAATTTTTATTAAAAAATCAATTTTTAGAAATATTAAAAGGGGTATGAGTTTCATTTTTCCTTCTACATTGCTATTTCATTGTTTTTTAGCTACTTTAACAAGTGGTAAAATCATTTTATATATAATTTCTTTTACTGCTTTCAATAAAAAAACATGCAATGTGAGAACAACAAAATTAATGTATATCTTAAAAACTTCAAAATGTGTATCGTTCGCTGACGATGGGACAACCTCTTACGATAGTCGGTAGGAACAAGATATATCATAGAAAATTAATCCAACAATAATAATAACAGCAACAACAGCAATAAAATTATTCTAACTAAGAATGCAACCAAACCGTATCTTAAAATAATTAATTTCGGTCATATGGGACGGATTTAATTTGGGGAAAAGAATGAAAAGCCCATTCAGTCAAGATAGAAAGAGCTTTCAAGCAAAGTTGAACATGAATACTAGTACTCCAAGAACACACAAATCAAGGCGAATTTTCATGAAGACTTTCACCATGTAATACATGTAATTTTAAAGTATGGAGTTCACCAAACAGTGATAATTAATGGGTTCCCATATTACATGAACCACTGCATATTTTACCAAATGTAGCAGAAATCATTTGTACAAACACACAAGTTCAGTCTACCTTGTTCCTATCAAAGAGAGCCAAAACCATGGATTTTCTTAAATTTAGACTTTGGCCTAACTCGACCTTCAAAGCTACCTGGTAAGGTGAGAATTGCTTAACCTTTACAAGTTCTATTTAAGCAGCGTGGGATCTCAGTAGATCTCAAGGCAGAATATAAAATAATCAAACATGGAAGAAAGTGGATTACATTCTGAGGCCTACACTACAAATTGGCAAGAAGTTAACATGAATAATTTGACGGTCCACTGCCCACTCTCCCATCAAACAATCCCTCATCCAGTGCTGCCCTTTGTTTTCTGGTCTTCTGCCTTTGCAATCAATAAAACCACAGTTAACAATTTGGTTGCAAATTGAGGAACTAAAACTGATTGCAGCAATTAAAGAAAAAAAGGGTGTCATGTTTTTCAATGCACCTTAAGAATTCTCTAGAATAGTGGCAACTTGAAGAAGATAAAATTATCAAGAGATCCTGCCACCAATTGTAAATGAACTCGGACGGAGTGGTCTAGATCAAAGTTGAAGTTTATGTTGGTGCCTAATAAAACGAGATTTTAGGATTGCTACGTAAAAGATGCAGCACTCAACAATGGTTTAGAGAAACACGTAAACAATTTCAAATACTCTCTCTTTGTGGAAAGCAAAGTTAATATCTAAAGCCAAGTTCTAATAGGATCCAAACCTTTAGATACAAAATGAAATTCAAATACGAAATAAAAAAAAAAAAGCAAGGACACCACTACGAATAACAGGCATATCCAGAATAATGGTGCATACATATTATTAAAATCCAGGATCACCATGCACTTACAAAATCCAGTGTCACCAAGCACCATTCAGCAGAGCCAAAATATTTAGCAAAATTGAAGAAAATCAGAGGATATACCAGTTCTGCCAACCAGACAGGAGCTTGAATACCATGAGGTAGGAGAAAATAGTTGTGAGACCAGAAATTCAAGTGCACCCAAACTAAGACTTAGTTCTTCAGTGATTTTTGGCTTATAAACCCCATTTTAAGTCGGCCTTTGTTTTTCAGCTTCACTCGCCGGTGTCGTCGAAGGTTTTGCCACCAATGCAGCTTCTTCTTCTGACTATGTCCATGTGGGGTATTGCTAGACTGTTTTATCCCATAAAGCTGAGATGGCTTTGGTTTCTTCGAATGCCGGATGTGTCTCAGGACCCCTTCCACAAGTCTATGAAACTGTCCAACCTGGTTTCTCTGAGGCAACACTCTTGTAACAGCCCCTCTCCTTGTCTTCTCAACTTTTTGTTTTGTTAGCATCCCATGGTTGTTTTTATGGTGGAAGACATTCTGCAAGTGATTCCACGTTGAATGTCTATGGCCTTCTTTAGAATGAGTGTTACCATGATTATCATCATGATGGTGATGATGGTGATGGTGGTGAAAGATTAGTCCCAACTTATTTTTCAGCCTCCTTAGGCTTCCAATTGTTTTCTTAGGATTTCTTTCACGGTGATGTCTATAAGATTTCAAACTGCCAAATCTCTGAGAAGGATTATTATCCTTATAGAGATATGAATTGCTACTCTCTTCTGAGCTGCCTTCGTATGCTGCATCCACCATCCTTCCTGATGAGGGATTTTGTGTACCATCTTGCAAGGAATAGTCCTCAGATTCACTACTACTATTGACACTGCCTTGCTGAGAACTCCAGTGAGAAGAGTCAGAATTTGAGCTTGACTCCTCCAGTTCATGATGCTGTGGTTGAACCCTTTCCTTCTTTGGTTCAAGATGACCTGTCTTATGAGTTTTTCTCCTATCCAAAAGTGACCAG